CCTTTTCTTTCTAGTTGGTAACACCAAGTGTTTGCAGGTCTCTCTGGACATTATCTCTCCATAGTCTTCTTGGTCTCCCTCGTGGTCAACGACCATTCGTCTCCTTTGTGTATACAGTTTTTACCTCTCTGTCATCTGACATTCTCTCAATATGCAGTCTCTACCACAGTCCACATAAAAATATTGCTGCTCTATTGTAGTGAGGCTGGATTTTTCTCTCATACAGCAACTCTCTATATCTTGCTGTGTTTGGCTCTTTTTCTCTTTAAAATATGACAGTCCATTTTTCACTGTCTGCCTCCACAGGAGTTGGTCTGCAGCAGATTTCTCCAAAGTGTCTGTGACAATGTTTTTATGTGTCAGGTAGTGTTTGCAGATGTCCTTGTAGCATAGCCTCACCTTATTTCAAATCTGTTTCCTGCTCCAGTGCAGAGAACTGAGAAAGAAGATTATTATGGCCTGGAGAGAATGAGGCACCTGGGTGTAACCAGAGGGTCTGGCTGGCTCACTACACTCAGAAGAAAGGCAAGACGGACACATAACCAGATTGTGACCGGTACCATCATTATTGGAACTCTGCGCTAGCTGCTGAAGATGTGGGCAGAGCATGCATGGGAATGCCCCGAGTGCTGTGATGTCAATTCTTCACTCAACACAACTCAAATTTTCCCTGCTGCCAATTCCCCATACGGGAGATCCTTTGGAATGCGACCGTTCTCCATGCGAGAGACATGCCTCCACCAGCATAGGTATCTTTGTTTCAGTAGACAGTACACTGCTGGCTTTTCTACTCTTATGAGTACAGATGTAAATTAATCCTACAAAATTAATAATTCATCACAGCACAAGGAAAATGCTGCATGTAAAGCATAGCTGGCCTGATAATTTGTGCACATAATATAAGGAGTAATTCCAATCTAATACTGAAATAACATGTCACCAACAGTACAAAATATACATATCAAGCTGGTAATTACAGAAATACTGGCATAATATAGTTGTATGCATACAGTAAGCAACACTGATCTTTAAATTAAACAAAAGTATTGATTGCAGGGAACCCCCGAGGCCAGTGAAATATGAGAAATAAATTTATGAGTATCAATTATTACTTCTTTTTGTCTTCATTTTTTGGGAGGCAGAAAAAAAAAGATTTAAAAAAAGTGGATTCTCCATGACATCATTTAATTTCAATATTACATTACCTTGATTTCTGTGGCAAAGTGACACAACAAAAAAAAACACACACACACACACACACACAATTAAATTTGTTAAAGGGAAGGAAATGGGTTAATCATCTGCTCAGTTTGTTCTCTGTGATTACTTCCCTTTACATAGAAATAACCACCTGTTCGTTTTTTAGGTATGTAGTGGGGGGGGGGGGGGGGGGGAAATTAGATCCTTTTAGTGACATGACATTATCAAAGAAGTAGAGGAGGAATTCACTCCTGCCTTCTTCTCAGTGGTGTAGGGGTTAGACCACCTAGATATTTATCAAAACTGACCAAGACTACAAACTACTTCTCGTTTCTTAGAGTAGAGCTTCAGAGAATTAGGAACATTTTTTTTTTTTTTTTTGCGTAAAAAAATTTGATAAAAATTTTTACAGGGCGAAAGGGTTCATAGTATGGCTGGCCAAACGGTTAAGAATGCTGGACTCTCAAACAGTAGACCCGAGTTTGAATCCTCGATAAGGCTGGGGATTTTAGTCCGTTGGGGCACAAATAAAATCCTAACCAGCACAGCTGTGGCGACACATCACTAACCATGCAGCCTTAATTTCTCAAGCCCAGAGACCCCACTTCCCGCTTACAATGCAAAAGTATAAAATATGGCAATAACAGCAGTTGTTGAAATGGTTAAAATAATACACTATGAGTAGGAGAGTTCAAGTAACTGGGACAGAATGGGTTAGTGTAACAACTGGATGAAGCACAAAGAGTTAAGAAAAATCTATCATGTAAGTAGAAAACATGGTGAGTTGCTTGGTACTTAATTAGTTAATTAAAAAATGTCATACAGTCAGTAAGTTGCGTATCCTTTACAAGATGTTGCAGAACTAACCCCAGCATTCTTTGGCTAATGTAGTTTTTCTAGGCAAATTTTATGTTTAGTTTGCCACTGCTTTCTGAACGGTCAGCTCTTGGTAATATTGGCGAAACCAATGCAAGACAAATTGTCTGCAGCTGGGATTGAACCCGGCATTACAAAGTGCGGTCACAGATGAAGAATACAGTAAAACACTGTTAACACAAATGGCAAGGGGCTGAACACTGAGTTCGTGTTGAAACTATTTCTGCTGAGGTCTAAAAATAAAACATCCCTGCTAGGACCAACATTTTGTTGAGGTTAACCAAGTATTCTGTCTTAAGCAAGTTCGTGTTAACAAGGTTTTACTTTATAACTGTTTGGAAAGGGGAAATGTGAAAGTTACATACAGCTTACAGGATGTGAAATCTTTAAAGCTTCAAGACACCAGGTGACCAGTTCACTATCCAAATTTCCCCATGTGGGTTCCAGGGGCCCCACTGAGGGGAACAACAAGAATTGACCCACTGCCTCCCTAACAAGCATTCTTCTTCTTCAGCATTCCGAGCCCTTGAGGTTCATTGCTGCAGATATCACCCACCTTCACTCATCTCTCTCTCTCTCTGATTGGCCTTCTCTTTCCAGTTGGTAACACCAAGTGTTTGCAGGTCTGTCTGGACATTCTCTCTCAATAGTCTTCTTGGTCTCCCTCGTGGTCTACGACCATTCATCTCCCTGGTGTATACAACAAGCATGTCAGTCGTAAAAGTCGACTTACTGGAGTTGATGGTAAATTATTCTACCAGAAAAGCATTTTTGTGAACAGTCCTGAACTCAACTGCCCACGTTATACAACCAGGAAAAGCTTTAACTACACGAGCAAACTGGACGGAAAATAAGTGTAGACAAGTGTAAACTGCAGCAAGAAACAAAACATGCCCATATCAGCGGCAAGTACTTCAGAAATAAAACAGAAATGCAAGTGTAATCACAGCATATATATATACATATATATATATATATACATATATATATATATAATATATATATAAGTATATATATATATATATATATATATATATATATATATATATATATATATATATATATATATATATATATATATATATATATATATATATATATATATATATATATATACATATATACATATATATATATAATATATATAATATATATATATATATATATATATATATATATATATATATATATATATATATGTATATATATATATATATATATATATATATATGTATATATATATATTTATATATATATATATATTATATATATATATATATATATATATATTATATATATATATATATATATATATATATATATATATATGTTGGCACTGAAATAATAATAATAAAAAAGGTACACACATAAAACCAAATTTTGGCATTAAAAAGGGTTTGTGACAAAAAATTTTGGCACAAAAAAAATGTTTTAGATCTTAGAAGTTTGTTACAGCCATCCTTGATGAGTCTCTCTTGGTCTTCCCCATTTTCTTTTCTCCTCCGGTGTCCATACGAGGGCTTGATGGGAGGAGTTTGGTCTTATCTATTCTGAGAGCACGGCCGATGTAGTTCCAGCGGCGCTTTCTTATGAGATTTGATAAATATTTTGGATAAATAAATTCAGTGCAATACAAGATTCTTTCTCTCACCCTCCCCCCCCCCCTCTCCCAAAAAAAAAATGAAAGTCTGGGAAAGATATAATGGAGGAAAGTCTTCAAAGGGGAAACGGAGCACAAGCAGATGACATGTAGATGGATTCTAGACAAAGATATTGTTCTTGGTCTACCTCTTGCTCTACGTCCCTCTCCTCTTTTGATAAATGCCTTGAATGGTATAGCATCAGAAGACATCCTCATCAAGTAGGCAAACCATTTGATTTGCTGTTTTTTTATGCAATTCAGAATTGGGTCTGTGCCAACTTTATCTCGTATTACCTCATTCCTGAGTTTATCTCTTCGGGTCACTCCTAAAGCCTTTCTCAGACACCTCATTTACATGGTTACTAACTTTCTTTGATGTTTTGCTGTGAGTGACCTACAGATGGAATAAAAACTAAATTATTTTTAGTAAAATTTTCAACATCTAAAGAAATATATGCGTACATTTTCACTAACATTATATGCATAGTATACAGTCTGAGATTACAGCATCACAATCAATGAGTATTTAAAACAAACAAGTTATAGTTCCACGTAGTTTCACTTTGTGCATAAAACTGCTATTATACAGGAACAAGAACACAAATGTGTACAATTTCAGCTTAAAATACCTTTGTTTGTTCTCTTATGTGTCTCATATATTCTCAACAGTTTTTGTGGTTTATACAGTCTGAGATTACAGCATCACAATCAATGAGTTTTTAAAACAAACAAGTTACAGTTCCATGTGGTTTCACTTTGTGCACAAAACTACTATTATAAAGAAACACAAATGTGTACAATTTCAGCTTTCAATACCTTTGTTTCTTCTCTTATGTGTCCAATATATTCTCAACACACACATAAAATTACAACTTCACTGTTTTCCCCACCATTCCCTTCTTTACACTTTCATTACCAGAATGTGTAGCGGGTGATACATGAAGTAAAGAAAAAACACAACAATGAATTAACTCTTTACGGAGCAAGCTATGAGTCTTCATTTCTTCACAGGAAGTATAATTTTTTTTTAACCTACAAATGTGGCAAAATAAAAAGGTCACTTGCATACAGCATCTTTTTCACTAATACAACTTAAATAATCTTTGTCACATTTAAATTCATTATTCTCCCTGTGTGGGTTGCGGCCTGGGTTTTTTTTAGAGTTGAAGAATGTATTTTGGCACGGTGACTGACGACTATACTATGTATTGAGCATATAAGTAGGTAGGGTGTTTATGCATTTCATGTTTAAATGTTAGATGAAAAAAATAATTATACAGTCTTATACCAATCTAGGTGTTCTATCTTGTGAAAGTTTACTTGAAGTTGATGTTGGAGTTGGTGGAGAAGGTGAGGATGATGATGCTGAAGTTGCAGGCCCTGACAGCTGCGATGGTCTTGGTGCCGCCACATATTTTGGTACTGATGACGTTTGCTGCCCTCCTGACTTGGATGTAAAACTTGAGGACTTTTCTAGCTGACATTTTTCATGTATCTTTCTGGGACTTCCGGTTGAAATGGCTGGGGATGCTGCAGGTTTTCGTTGGCCGGATCTGGTGGAACGACCCGAGGCAGCGTCCCCAGAGTGGTGTCGATGTCGAGGAGACGATGATTGTGATGAAGATTTGTCTGGGATGTTTCCCTCAGACTTGAGAGAGGATTCTGCACTTTTTGAATCCTCTCCAGAACGTTTTATCACCTTTGGTGATTGGGATAATTCCCCATCCTTCCCAGGGCTCTTCTTTGGCAAAGATGAAGGTGATTTTGAAGAAGATGAAGTCTCCTCTGATTTGCTGCTGCTGCTGGCTGATGGTTTTGAAGAACCTTTCAGGCTGTGGTCAGCTGATGTATGTTTCACAACCCCCCCAGAAGGTGTGGTCTTGGAGGGTGGACCCTGTAAATTAGATCTGGATGATGCTATGGTTGAAGAAGATGATGTGGTCCTTGCTACTGATGTCGGAGTTACTACCTTTACAGCAGATGATGATGCTGATGACGCTAAGAGAGGCCTTTTCACCATGGAGGTTGAAGGCACATTAAGTGGTTTTGTTTTGCCTGGTGATGGTCTTCCAGATACCCCTTCTCCTATGAGAGATAATGACTTTTGCTTTGGACTTATCTGGATGTCATGTCTAGGGACATCCGTTTTTCCAGGACTGGACTTCTGCAGACTTTGTGGCAGTACAACTTCCTGGCTAGCTGCTGAACTAGTTGTTTGACTAGTTGACCTATCACTTTTGTATACCTCCGAGTCTGTTTCATCAGGGCTGGGCGTAGACTCCTCTCTCCATTCACTGCGACCTGCGTCCTCACTCTGGCTACTTGGTCTGCTTGACAAAGCACAGCCGCCACTAACAACATTTTCTATTATACTCGAAGACCTGTTATGATCCCATGACAAAGAGAGACTAAGATCTTTACTTTGAGCTGCAGGGGTTGTTGTAGTAGTTGTCAGTTCAGAAGGTGCAACAATCACTCCAATCTTGGTGTCAGATTTGATGGCTTTGACTAACTTCCTCTGCTCCTGTCTAAATCTGTCAGCACGGTTATCTACAGCTGCATATTTAGCATCTGCACTACGCTGGACACTAGGACTTGTGGGGATCTTGCTTGGCAACTCTCTGCGCTTGATGGTCGGACTAGCTGGTATTGTCACATATGGAACAGTCCCATCGTCCGGTCCACCTCCATCTGCTCTTTGTGGTCCGGTAGGTTTGCTAACTGTGGGAATAGGTATTTCTTCGAGAACAGAACGCCGAGATGATGAAGCTTCAGACATAAAGGGTCTTGATTTTGTAGGCTCCTGAAACAATTCTGGTGTCGTTACCGGAGCTTTTGGTTCTTTCCTAATTACAGCCACCGCTTCTATATGTGACGGTGATTGCGCCTTAGTAACTGCAGTATCTTTCCCACCAGATGCAACCAACTTTGAACTCTGCATGCCAATTTGCTTGTGTGTCGTTACTGGTTCTATCTGTGCTTGTGTAGAGCTCTCCTTAGGGAAAAAATCAGAAAGGGATTCCTCAGCAGTTGGTGCCTGCGTGAGAAACTTAATATTCTGCAGCTGCAGAGAGTGAAGCTTCTTCTTGCTGGGATCATCCTGACCAGTTTTCTGAGTGATATCCTCGGCTGTTTTAACTGTGCTCCAAGTAATAGATTCCTGCACAGTCTGTGGTGATCGAGAAGCAGATGAAGTCCAGTCCGTACCAAATGAGTCTGACAATGTGGATGCTGTCTGACCAATTCCTGATGAAGACATTTCAAATGATGCTGAGCTTCCAGATGACACCATCAAGGCAAACGCCATCTCTGACATGGTGGATGACAAAAGTGCAGCCATATCGGAGCCTGACCCAATTCCAGGTGCAGATAAAGACGAAGGCATCTGCGATTTGGAGGTCAAGGATACATGGGGAGAAGATGCTGATTTCGTTACGGGAGGCTTAGAGAGTGCTGAATCTGTGTGACCTGCTGGATCTGTGTGACCTGCTGGAGAGGGTACAGCAGTGATGGTAGTGACTGGACTGGTCCCAGATCTGATGACAGAAGTGTCTGCAGTTGAGCCTAGTAATGGATAAAGTTACAAACTATGTGAGTTAAAAACTACATTTTATAAAATTAATATCTTAGGCAATAAATATTTCTTTCTGGAGGTTAGAAAAAGAACTGTTGCATGTTACACAAAACCAATTTGTTTTTAACTTGTAGCTATGTGTAAATATGCTAAACAAATCCTTAATACTTCCAAGAGGTGGCTTAACAGAAGAATGCTTTAGATATATTGACTTGATAAAAATCTGTAGTCTGGTTTGAAGAAGCTAAAGCGTGAAGAAAAAACCTACATATATATAATAATGATCTTACTGTGCTGGGGCTTGGGCATCTGGCCCGTGACAAACTTTATTTTAAATGTGATAGCCCCTGATAAATGATGCCATAGACCAGGACAATTCAAATAATTTTTTGATTAGTCCTGGTCTATGGCATCATTTATCATGTTCAAATTTTTGCTTCATTGTTTGCTCAATGCTACACAATAAAGCATGATCAAATTAGCACCTAAATAATGGCTTTATTACAATCAAACAATAGGTATCCAAGCAAATGTGGCAGAATTTAACAAAGATAATTTTAGGAAGCAAGCCTTTATCTGAGGTCGTCGGGTCATGCTTGGGAAATCAACAGATTCTGCCCCAAAGAATATTTTGTTATTTGAAAAAAGCAACCAAAGTCCTTCTCTGATAGTATCAGTTGTCTTTCTCTAACAGTGGGTTGTGTGTCAGACAGCTTAGGACAACCTTTTCTGTTGTCCCTAGGTGCATATTTGCTTCCTAACAGTTCGCTATGAATAGAAACTCAATTAGTAAAAAAAAAAAAAAAAAACATGCACAGCAATGATCAAATGTTTCGACCAAAGTCCTTATCAATTATCAACACAACAAGAAGAATTGTAGATACCACATTCCCACACGGGGGACTCATGTGAATAACTATACCAGAACATGGTATCTAGAATTGTTCTTCTTGTTGTGTTGCTCAGTGATAAAGACTTCGGTTGAAATATCTGACTGCTTCTGTGCATGTTTTGTTCCTTCATCCCTCGACGAGCTATGTGGTCTAAGCTTGTTTTCAGTGAATTCATTTTTAGATACCAGTTTGACTTCAGTCAGCCCCATTGTGATCACTTCATAGCAGTTTGTTTGTTTAAATCTGCCATACCTGCTAACATACCTATCATACATTTGTAATGAAACAACTTAGGCGAGTTTCATCTGATCACATCTCATATCCAAAGAAAGCTGATCCTACAGTGAATACCAGCTAACAAGTGGTTAAGTAGTTTGCCTCATGCTCTGAAGGTCATGTGTTCATTTCTTGGCCTGTATTGTTCAGTTTAGGATGAGATTTTTTTTTTTTTAACGAATATCCCTGAGATCATCACTGCATGTACAGAGTCTGATCTCTCAGCAGGTGGCTAGCCGCTCTATGGCGACAGACTGTGCTACAAGAAATAAAACCCTGCAAAATAAAGTAGGTCCTCTCAACTTTAAATAATTACTATATAACTACATCATCTGTCAGATACAAAGCTCTAAACAATTTCCCTGCACAGTATCATACTATCATAATAAAGGCAAATCTACAGTCAATGAAAACCCAAATATATTACTAAACCAAAGACCATTAAAAGCACAATTAAAACCAAGTCAAGCTGAAAATTACTGCATTAGCACAGTGATGTAATTCAAAGGAAGCAGCCACTGTAGTGTAGTGGCTAGATGATTTTGTGCAGGCTCAAAGATCTGGGGTTTCAAATCCTTATAGCAGTGACTTTTTATAACTGACCTTGTCTGCTGGGTCAACCCAGCATTAAGTGGGTAGATAATATGTCCTAGGAAGTAAAGGCAGCCAGCATGAGGTTGACCACATCTCCCACTGATTACTTTATACAAATATGAGTCTAGTGTTATATACATCATGAACCAGTGGCTAGAAAGAGGTCCTTTATTTTATCCCTTTTATAAGCTTTTATTAAGTTTACTTTTTTCAATATTTCAAAGCAGCAGTTCCCAAGTGCATCTATGAACAATAAATTGATATCTCTCGACAACAACTTGACAGATGTATGTAACTATTGTCAGTGCAGTTATGTATGTAGTCTGGTAGGAGGTCTATGTGGCCAAGCTGCTTGCCTCACACTGTGAAGGCTGAGAGGTTATTTCACAAACGCGGTGTTCAGTTCACAAGTGCCGTTTGAGATTCATGGAGAGCTATGGTGTTCCTGCTTTGTGTTATGTTCTCAGATGGCAGATAGCTATCTGTAAAGAGAGACTAAGCCACATGGAATAAAATCGTGAAGCTGATCCTCTCAACACAGCTTTAGTCTGGCATATACCTGTGGCTGTTATTTCCTACTTCAGCTTGTATTCTCCATGTAATGGTGAAGGCAATCAAATATTTGTAATAGACTTTAGCTCTTCAAAAGCTGGCAAGTGTACTGATAATTTAATTTACTAAAATCCTGAACCATTCAACCCCATATTTGCATCTCCTTGATAAATTCACTAACAAAATCTATTCTTGCTCCCATTTTCAACAAACCGTTCTTCTTCTTCTTCTTCGTGTTCACCGGCTGTAAACTTTGGGGAAAGTTCTGGTTGTTCATCCACCTCTGGACTTTAGACTTGTTCCAGAACCTGAGTGCGCAGACTGTAGGTTAATTGCCTCTCAGACAGATGAACTACGAAGGAAACCCCCATTTAATCGACTTGTATGACAAGCTTGTTGGGGATGCAGAGGGTCTACTCTTTTCCCCACAATGGGGACCCAGAAACAAACCATTAAACTCTCTGTCTCAGCAGATATTTCTTTAACCTGATTAATTTCAACTGTTAATTTATAAAAAGAAGAGAATAATCAAATCAATCAGAAAGCCACTAAAACCGGCACAAGACGATTACCATTTTATGGACAGACCAGAGCATGTTATTATTCTACGCCTTAGAACAGGACCCAATCGACTTTGCAGCCAGATGTACACAAATTTTAAATCGGTGAATCAGCCCTGTGCACATGTGGACTGGCACCTCAGACAACAGAACATGTCCTCCGAGACTGTCCCAAACACAACATATCAAGGTAACACTTTTGGCCAAGAGAAACATTGGTGCAAGTAAAACTTTACGGGTCGCTGAGCGAATTACAAAAGACAGTGAAGTTCATACTAGAGACAACATTGCAGATATAAATAATCTATTTCATGTGAAGGAAAGAAGAAGAAGTTACTTCATTTTACTGTAATTAATTAAGAAAGGTCCATACTTTAAAGTTCCATACTTTAACTTTAACTGTCAATTTCATTTGTTGGGAGCTGCCCCGGTGTAGCAGTTAGATGCATTCGAATCTGAATGTCATCGGTTCAAATTTAGATGGTGCTGGACTCAACACAAAAAATGACTTGGGCTCCCAGGTCAACCCTGCCTTAAATGGGTACCAGGTTAAAGTCAGGAAAGTAAAGGTGGCTGGCATCGTGCTGACCACGTCACCCACCAAGTGCCGATTGGTCTATAAAGTTTAGGTCTAGTCTTAACTGCCCAATACACCTGCGTAGAAAAGGGAAGTTTACTTCTCCTTTCACTTGTTTTTTCATCTTACTGTAATTAGATAGTTCATTACTTTAACCCTTTTCCAGCCCTGTATGCTTTAAAAGACCATGCATCTTCAATGTCCTGTGTCCACCCACATTAGTGGAGATAAGCATCAGCTTCGTCTTTTGGAAGCTGTACCCTCAATCTCCATTTTCTCCAGACCACTACTGGGCTAAGTAACAAGCATCTTTGCATTGCATGCACGCACGCACGCACGCACACACACACATACACACAAATAGAAACCAAAATCTGAGTCTCATACAATTTGCCAGTATAAAAACATGCAGATATAAAAACACATGCAATTATAATTATAAAACAACATGCAAGTTAAAAAACAAAAAACTGCATGCGTCTAAAACATTCAAGTATTTTAAAAAAACATTCAAGTGTAAAACAACTTGTACATATAAAACCTGCATGCAGTACAACGCATGCAGGTATAAAACCTGCAAGAATGGGGAGGATAAAACAACATGCAAATGTTAAATAAAAAAATATTTTCAAAAAAAGTACACAACGTGCAAATATTAAAAAAAACACCCAAGTATACAACATGCAAGCATATAAAACATGCCACTAAAGACTTACTATATCCCACATGCAATAAAAAAAACACAGACATACCAAAGACATGTATTATGATTTCCTAACTATGTGCATCCAATGTCTACAATGGTAAATGCTGTCTCAATGCTGAAATAAAATAACAGGTTAGCTTTACAGGGAGAAAATATGAAGATCATGCAGGTACTATCTCATACTCAAAGGGGACACAAACAAATGCACTGTAACAGCGGGGGAAGAAACATTCTGTCAAAATCATCTATTATTTTTGGGGGCTGCCTTAGTCTAGCGGCTAGATGCGCATCTGCAGATCCAAAGTCATGAGTTCAGGTCCTAAGAGAGCCAGACTATGTGCCCAATTTGCCTGAAGGTGCGAAAAAGGGTTTTTTACTTTACATTATTGATTAAATTAGGTTATTCTTTAGCCCAGTGGTCAGAAATCACAGCTTGTGAGCAGCATGCGTCTCTTTAGCGACCTGAGTGTGGCTTGGCCAGTAGGCCACAAATCAGTTCTGACTCTGAAAAACATGGTTCTTGACAGGTTCTTGAAAAGAAATCTGGCTCTAAAACATTTTTTTTATCATCCTGCTGCTGATTTTTGGCTCCTTCGACTGAAGAGTTTGCCGACCGCTGGCTTACATACAACTGAAAAAATGCAAAGGTGCCAACCAAGTATAGCACAATAAAACACTATCATCTGGGAAAATGGAAAGGTGCCAACAATATAACACTATCATCTGGAAAGGTGCCAAAAATATAACGCTATTGTCTGGGGAAAAAAGGGAAAGTGCCAATCAAGTATTTAACTCTCACTATATAGTTATGGATGTATACTAAAGTCACACTTGTTCTTAGATATAAAACCTAATGACATTATCATCAACCTTCCTTTTCTTCCTCAGCACTCATCAGTTGTTAATTCAGGTGGAAAGTTCTGATTATTCACCCATTTCTGGACTTTAGTCTTGTTCCAGAACCTGAGTATTGCATGCACACCTGTTTTACAGATCTGGCTTATCCGTCTGCAGATCTGGTTCCTCACTTCTTAGAAGAAACCTTTCCTAATCAGTTGCTTTTTTATAATATTCTTTTTAGGTGGGGAGTGGCTCTATCTATTCTCCCCCTGCCCCCCCCCCCCCCCCCAATGGGGCTTTAAAAAAAACCCAGACAGGAACAATCATCTACAGAATATAAAACTCAAGTTACAAGGTCAACTACCTTGAATACACTGTGGGCTGAGAGCAATATTAAATGGATTGGACAATGGTTTGGACTGGTCAGGTAAGACAATATCGCATGCATCATCACTGTCATCATCATCATGTGGTATCTCCACATCATAGCCTGTTAGAAATGTCAACCTCACAGTTAATTGTTGCCGACATAATGACTAAGTCCGCACATAGTAAAATACCTTGCAGAATCATGGAAGACATGTCGCTTGCACTATGCCAAAGTCACCTGAGTGCTAAATCTTTAATTCGAGGAAACTGCGTCTAAACACTGGTGGCAAATAAAAAGTGTGGAGTTGTATGAAAAGTAATATGGTTACTTCCTTTCGAACTATTTAGAGTAAGAATTCATGTGTCTGACCATCGTCAGAGCTCTGGAATTTGTGCTTTGTATGATGTTCGTGGCAGCTGGTTATCCGTTCTGCAGAAAGAATGAGCTATATGAGATCAAATCGGTGCAATGAAGTTGATCCTCTCGAATTTAACTTGGCATACTGAAAAGTGGCAAATAACAGCCCTGAGAAATGTACTAAGGTGAATATCATAAAAACTGCCTTTGGGTGACTTTGGCATACTACTAGTGATGTGTCCCATGAACTTCTACAAAAACAGCATAAATAAAATGTCTATGGCAAATCCTAAACATCATTAGAAGAGAAAGAATCAGAAATGATGACATCAGGAAAGATCTTGAGGCAGAACCAGTTTTAAACCACATCATGATACAACAGATCAAATGGTTTGGACATATGTCAAGACTACCACCAGACAGTGGACCACACAGAGCCTGTCACTTAAGTCACTATGGAGGCAGATCCAGAGGTCCACCAGGCAAACGATGGATAGATGGAATATTCAAGGCCGTAAATACCAGCATCTATGCAGTACATACAGAGGTTCTCAGATGCTGAGTCAATATAGGACTAGCAGAAGAAGAAGAGGAAGAAGAAGAATTTGATGTTAGATACCTGATGAAGTCATTTTAAATATAGGTATAACACCATTGCCTTATGAACTAATGGCATAAAAAGGGTTCTTCAATGCCTAAAAGAGGCCTCAGAGATATGATTTAACAGAAGAAACTTAAAAATTCCTCGTACAGCCAAACAGAATAATCCAGATGTTTTGAAATAGGCAAAAGTCTGAAGACAGTTGAATGTTGAATTAGGAATTGACATCACAGCACTCGGGATACCCCCATTAGCAGCAGCAAGCGAAGAGCTAGAATTCTGATGATACCAGTAACTGTCTGATTGTATATCCGTCTCGCTTTTCTCCTGAGTGTCGAGCGTCGGCCAGATCCCCTTGTAACTCCTCACAGTGCTATTCTCCTCAGACCTTAATGACCTGTCTGTTCCTCGGCACTGTTCACTCGCTCTCAACAAAGGGGCAGTATCACCAAGTTTTGACAAACTTCAAATTCTACAATAAAGAAAATCAAGCTATCAAATTTTGATGATCCATTATTATTCAAATTAACTTGTCCATTCACAAGATTCCACACGATGCATCCTATCATGCAAAACAAAAACAAAAAGTAAATTTAAAAAAAAAAAAAACATGTCTCTCTGAACACCATGCTAGACACTTACAAGTAGCCACTTTTTTTTATATTCAACTGTGACATATTATTATAAGTTTGTTGTTAATTCAGCGGATCAACATCATGGCACACGGGTGTAACCCATAAGTGCTCCGTTCTTCTTCCAACTCAAGCCTGAGTCTGAAGAATCTTGGCGCAGTGCACAAACTCTGTAGCACCAGCGAGGATCCTGAAATACCCTGGGTAGATTTTTAACCCCAAATTATGCCCGGGCAGCGCCGTTAGGCTACTCTTTTTGATTTTTCCAACTGCCAAGGGATTTTTTTATATGCCCAACAATACACACAGGCGTCCAGTCTTTACTACCCAGAGACCAGTGGGAATTACTAGAAGTCCACGTGAAAAAATCCCAGCCTTCACCAGGGCTTGAACCCAGGATCTCTAGCACTAGAGACGGACACCATACATTGAGACCACGCAGCCCTCTTATTTATAATAAGTATAGGAACCAAGTGAAGAAAATGTACAGCAAAAATTGCAGACATGTATTACAGCATTAATTAATTTACTCACAGCCAATGAAAACACAAAGGAATGCAAACAAATCTACTATGCACATGAACAGAGCATTTTGTATAAGTTTGTATATCTTTTCTTTTGACTGACTGTACTAAAGCAGAAATGTATTATCTACCACAACAATTACTTTGAGGGAAACAAAATTAACAACATGCGAAATGGAATACATGACAAGATGCACAAAATCTGAGATGTAATCAAAGCAATTACCACTGGTGGCTATAGACAGGGCTACATTTCTTTCCTGACTTGCGGTACCAGGAAGAAGAAATTCGCACTGTGAAGGCTGCAAATAAGTCAACATTTGGTAAGGGAGGACAAATATGTCAACATCTGGTCAGGGAGGACAAATAAGTAAGTTAACATTTGGTAAGGGAGGACAAATAAGTCAACATTTGGTCAGGTAGGACAAATAAGTCAATATTTAGTGTGTGGAGGAGGTAAAGGGGGTGGGGGAAAAGTTAACATTTGTGTGAAGGAGGATGAATAAGTCAACACCTGGTTGGGGGAACAAGTAAGTCAACATTTGTGTAAAGGAGGGCAAATAAGTCAACATTTGTGTGAATCTCAGGTTGTCAGGGACTCTTTTAACCTATCTTCTAGGTCTCTTCCTGCCTCTCCTCTTGGTGTTTCCATTTTCAAGCTGTACAATCTCACTGCCTGGCATTACTGGATTCATTCTCATTAGGCTGCTGAACCACAGTTCTCTATAGATTGCATTATACAAGGTCCCACAATTAGGTAATGAGATTAATTTCATAAAAATTATAATAATCAACAGTTGAAGATATAACCTGTATTTTATTCAAAGTAAGCCCCTTGTGCATTGATACAGTAAATAGCACGATCTAACAAACACTGGAACAACCTCAGTAGTTCTTCTGTTGCTACGGCCCTTAAAGTCGATGTTACAGCCCTTTGAATGTCATCAATATAGTCAAAGAAGCGTCCATTCAATGATAACTTTAATTTTGGGAATAGAAAACAATCACAGGGAGACAAATCTGGGGGAACATGATGGATGGTTGAGAACACACATTAGTTTTGGGGCCAAAAATTCAAGTTTTGATAATGTCTCGTGGGAAGTCAACCCGCTGATGTTTTTGGTCATCAGACAACGAATGCGGTACAAACCTGCAAGCAATTTTTTACTTGCCAACATCTTGCACTAAAATGTTACGAAGGGTCTCTCTATTAACACCAGATTCCTCTGCCATCATCCTGACAGTAAAAGAACGATCTTCTTGTATCCGTTCTGTGACTTTTGCAATGAGTTCATCATTATTAACAGAAACTGGGCATCCAGGTCTAGTTGCATTAGTAATCATTTCTACACCACTTTTAAATCGTGAATACCACCTGAAAATCTGTGCACCAGATTACCAATTATCCCCATAAACTTGTCACATCAATTCAACTGTTTCAATGGCGCTTTTTCCGAGTTTTAAACAGAATTTAATGTTAGCTTTTTGCCCTATACTGATTACCTAACAATGCACCATTGGCTAGGTCAAGAAAATGGCGGCTTGTTTGTTGTCTGCTTATCGGGCGACGATAAAAAGTTGCCAGATCATAAGGTTGCCTCTTTGGATTCCATGCTTTGCTTCATAGATGGCATTTTTGTTTTAGCCATAAATAAATCAGTCTCATTACTTAATTGTCGGACCTTGTTTGCATACTTTTTACAAAAAAATCAGACACAGCAAACTGCTCTGACTAATGCCATTTTTTATGCATTTATATGTTCCTTCATGGCTGTTAAATGGACACAAATAAGTTAACATTTCTAACGGATCAACATAAAATTACTTTCAATGAAACAAATAAAGCACAATTTAAAAACAATGTATTTTCTAAAATGAAATCAATCACCTGAATGAAAAAGACAAAACCCTGATGATCAAAAGTGAAGATAACATTTTTTGACAATGGTAAATGACATAAATAAACACTCACATCATGGTAGATCAGTAAATAATCACACACAAGCAAATCTTATTTTAGAGATACACAACTGTTATAAATTATAAAATTGTAATACACATTTAACTATGCGGAGGATGAATTTCAAATACCCTGAGCATACAATTAAACTTTGCAAGGTTACAGTTCAACTATACAATGTAAACTCAGGATACAAATGTAATCCATACCATGTGAATGAATAACTTGTAAATTTAAAATACTTTCCCCATTAAAATTAATGTAAACAATTTTAATTTGTTCCAGCCTTCTAAAATTAAAAACCAAAATGAAATTTGTCATTTCGTTAACTGCTGGTTCCTCGCCTCTCAGGCAAATGCACTCTGACTCTGAAGGAAACATTCCTAATTAGCCTACTCTTAGGACATGCTTATTAGGGGTCGGCGGGTCTATTCTTATTTTCCCCTACTATAGGGCCTCAGAACGTACATGGATAAAAGTTAATTTTTCAGACTACGTAATAGGTTAAATATCAGACGAGAACAAAACAAAAACATAAAAATTTACAAATAAGGCATACAAATTTTATAAGTCTGATGCCTGTGAAAATCAAATCATCTGAGGGTAGTATTCTAAAAGACAACACCATGGTTTCTTTCAATTTACACCTTACAGATTCATAACTCACCTGAGTGGATAGAGCACTTGGTGTGCCAGATGGTGAATCAAATACAGGCAAGGATCTGTCATCAGATTCAATGCTGGTCTGTGAAACTCTGTCAGAGACGATTAAAATGGTCATAAAAACTGTTCTGTCTCTTTTCATACAAAAACAAAGGTTTAAAGGTTAAAGCTGACAGGACTGATTACATTAGCACCAGATTTTATCCCCATTTGGTTCTACTTTTCTCGGCAGATGGGCTGGCTGCTGTTAAGAATGATGCACACAGAACCAATGGTGGGCAGAGGATCATGCCAAGACAATGGCTATGGTTGCCTGACCAGATTGGTCAATGCTAAGAATGAAAGCAACAGCAAACTACCTTCTTCAAGATGCCAAGAAAATGTCACCTTTCATCAGACATAAGAAAGTCAGTGTATTTTGGACCTGTTATGAGAAATGTCCCCATCTCTGGCTTAGGTGATGCTTCACAATGCCAAGGTACCAGGTTGGATCCCACAAAAATACTTGTAGGTGTTGCAAATTTAAACAAAGCAACTGTTAAATGGTGTAAAATAACGTCTGATCCTCACTCAAATAACAGCAAACTGAAACCACAAAAGCAGGGTCACTTACTTGACTTTCTGGACTGTGCCTGCTGTGTCAACTTTGATCTTTTGGCCTGAAATTATAGATAGATGAGATGTACTGCAACCTTCCAAACTGATAATAAAAATCATCATGACATACAAAGAATTAAATGATTTGGCCATCTAGAGAGAATGCAGCCAGACCAAACTGCATAGAATTTTTTTTTGGTTTAACAGCTGAACATCTGGGAGGAAGGCAAGGGGGGAACCAACAAAGAGATGGGATAAATGGTGTAGCTGAAATCTGCAAATCCCCCCCCCTCCAAAAAAAACGAACAAATTAATCACCAAAGCCGCCCGAGAAGTGCAAGACAGATACAGAAATCTACAACACTGGGCTACAATCTGGTATCAGTGAGATGACAAAAGAAAGAAGAAGATGTTAACAGTTAAGCATATTAATATTATAATTACTGCAACCCAAGAGGCATTTTCATATTTGAACATGCATTAAAAAAAAAAACCTTAAAAAAAAACAACCAAAAGCAAAGTAACGCGTAGTACATTTGATGTCAGACTCATATTGTTTCCAGATGAACTGACACTCAGTGGGGAACATGGACAACATCATGCCGGTTGCCTTTACTTTCTAGGACTTTACATGGTACCCATTTTAGACTACGTTGGCTGGGGAACCAAGGTAAATTATTAAAAACTATACTGGAGGGGAAATGTGAAGGCAACTGAGCAAGTGGCAAACAGCGATACAAGTGGCAGGATAATATAAAAAGATAAATGAACAGCGGTTTGAAAAAGTGTACAACCAGAACGAGAGATAAGCATGCTGAAGATACTTTGCCGCCAACCTTGATTGTGGAGACGGCACCTGACTGACTGACTGCATGTTTGGGAGCTATGGGAATGGAGTAGCTAGAGTGCTTGCTTGCTGACCTGGTGTTGAACACCCACAAATTTGGGCATTTAAAACTATCCTGGGATCAAAGGCTGACCTAGCCTCCTCTTTGAAGTCAGAGTGCATCTGGCTGAGAGGCCAGGCACCAATAGTCTGTATACAAATAAGTTAGATCTGTGTAAATAGAAAATGTTTACATTATAAAAAAATTTAAAAAATAAAAATTCAGGAACAAGACTAAAGTCAGGAAGTGGACAAAGAGCCAGAACTTTCTACCAGAGTTTACAGCCAGTGAATGGAAGAAGAAGAAGAAGAAGAAGAAGAAGAAGAAGAAGAAGAAGAAGAAGAAGAAGAAGAAGAAGAAGAAGAAGAAGAAGAAGAAGAGGAAGAAGAAGAAGAAGAGGCAGCGGCGGCGACAGCAGCAGCAGAAGAAGGAGAAAAAAAAGAAGAAGAAGAAGAACGCCCCTAATAAGATAATTGGTGTCGTGAAATTTGCTTTAAAGAATACCTTACCGGTCACAAAAAGTTTTTAAAAAAAAAAGTAAATGACCCTTCTCAACTTCAAATATGATGCGGGCTCATTTTTTTAAAAACCAACATGATCAACAAAAAGCCAGCTGCCCTTACTTCCAAGGAAAATGCTTGGTACCCATTTTAGGCTGGGATGACCTGGGAGCCATGGTAAACTTTTTTTAAAAAATCTGACTTAATGCAGATTTGAACTTAATATCTTAGGGCCAGCAAGCCAGCATCTTGAAGGTCAGGGCCTAGAATAAATGAAGACCTAATACTTCATTTCTCAACAACAGTAACTGCTGAGGGACTTTAGACCATCTTCAGTTAATGAGCTCAATTAATGTATCCTGTTTTGCCCTATACTTTCTGAACACAATTTAGCAGCTTGTTTCAGCTTCTTCGATCTGGCCGACACTTAACACTCAAGGGAAGGGCAAGATGAATATACATTCAGACAGTTACTGGTGCCATTAGAACTGTAACTCTTCGTTTGCTGCTGACGAAGGGGATGGAGCGCTTATGGGAGTGTCCCGAGTGCTAAGATGTCAATTCAACATTCAACTCCTTCAGATTCAAGCAACTTACCATTCATTTGTTATTTTCTACTTACATGACAGTCGTTTCTGTTTTTTCCCCCCTTGTTCAGTTCAGGATCCCATTCTGGGTGAGAAACAACCCCCCCCCCCCCCCCCCCCCCCAACAAGCTTGCCATAAAAGGCAACTTTGGAGGTTTCTGTGGCAGAGTGGTCAAGCCGTTTGCCTTGTGCTCTAAAGGTTTTGGGTTCATTTCACGGCTGCGTCGTTCAGTTCACGAGTGCAATTTTCACACATATCCCTGGGAATCATCGCTGGAGCTACGGAGTTCATGCTTTGTGTGATGCTTTCGGCAGGTGGCTAGCCGTTCTGCTGAGAGAGACCGAACCCTATGGGATAAAACCTGGTGCAATAAAGTCGATCCTTTTGGCTTTAACCTTCAAAAGACAACTAAATAGGGGTTTGCTAAAATTGGACGCATTAGGCTTACAGGCACAAAAATCACAGCCTTGCTGTAAACCACAGCTCCCTTTTTAAGGGTGAATGAAGAAGAAGATTTCTGAATTCTTTGTGCCTCATCCAGTTGTTACAAAACCCGCTTTGCCCTAATGTTCTTTTCGCACTACTATCTTGAGGCGAGCTGAGCTGAATCAGAAACCGACATCATGGCATTTGGGACATTCCTATATGCACTCCGTCCTCATTTTCAGCAGCCAGCAGAAAGTTCCGATTCTGATGGTTCCATTACAATTTCTATCTTTTACTGTTGTAATTTTAACTATCCCTGTGTGTTTTCCAGGGCCTCACTGTGGAGAAAACAAGAAAAGACCCACAGTCTTCCCAGCAAGCATGTCATAGGAGTCGACTAATTGGGAACATCCTTCAAGGCCAGAGTACATCTGCCTGAGAAACAAGGAACCAAAAGTGTGCATACAAAAAAAGCCAGATCTGTGACACAGATGTGCACGCAACACTCAGGTTCTGGAACAAGACTAAAGTCTGGAGGTAGACAAATACTTAGAACTTTCCACAGGAGTTTACAGCTGGTTAACGCAAAGAAGAAGATTTTGAACTACTTCAGACTCATTAATTAAACTAGAAATAAACAGCCTTTCTACTTCTTTTTTTGCGTGCCGATCAATGGATGTCAATTTGTTTATTTTATTTTGTATTTAAACTAACACCTTCTAAGTACAAAATAAATTAAAGTAATAACAGCCCTGGATTGAAAAAGTTAACACTCACCTGGTATGATCACACCACCAAGGGTTTGGTTGAGCTGTTCCACGGGGGTCTGGCTAGGTGTTACTGGGAAATTTTCACTTGGACCAAATAATATCTAGCAAAATACAAAATATACAACTTTGAAAAGGAAGAAAAGTTTAGTCAAGAAGTGTGCTAACGTACAAAGCTGCAAGAGAGAGAATTCGGATTATATATAACAGCAGCAGTTTTACACTTGTGAAGCTATTTAGGAGGAGACCGGAGAATGTACAGCTCTCTCTTCAGAGCGTTGTAATGATAATCCTCACTTCTTCTTCTTTTGCCCTTTATCACTCAATGGAACATAGGCCCTTAACCAAGCTACTGCATGTGGCTCACCCTATGTCCTCGCAGTCTTTTAAAACTTCACTATCTAGCTGCCTTCTCCGTGTGTTTTACAGTCTGCCTTTATTTCTATAACCCTGTGGATTCCAGCGCAAAAATTATAGTTACACTGTTCTCAGGTTTTCACAACATGTGTTCAATGCCAGCATTTTTTTCTTCACCTCTTAGTCCACTGGAACTTGTTGAGTTCTCACCCACAGCTCAACATTAGTGATTCTATCCTACTATTTAATTATCTCTATTCTGAGCGGGCACCAGTTATTAAATTTTTGTACTTTATTAGTATTAAAAGTAAAAAAATATAAGTAAAGGACCCTTTTCCACGCCTTTAGGCGTATAGGGCATATAGGGCTAGACCTATATTTTTATAGACCAATCGGCACAAGATGGGTGATGTGGTCAGCATCACGCCGGCCGCCTCTACTTCCCGGGACTGCACCCGGTACCCACTCAAGGCTGGGTCGACCTGGGAGCCAAGGTCATTTTTGAAAATAGTCCGGCTCCGCCAGGGAGCGAACCCACGACCTTCCGATCCGCGGCGAGCGTCTAGCCGCTCGGCCACGGCGACCCCCCTTTATTAGTATTAGTTGTTTTATATGTTTCCGCTCCATACAACAATATTGACCTGAGTTAGAAAATTTAAAAAAATTCATTATTCTTCCATTAGAACAGCCTCCCCCGATTTTAGCTGGCCTGGGTATTTCTTGTTTCTCTATTTGATTTTTCCATGACTGGTCAGTTTTTTTAGGCTATTATTTGACAAAATGAGGTAGCCAACTCCTCCAAGCCCAAACCTACCCTTAGTTGTCTCTTACGACATACCTGGTAGTGTGCAGTGTTACTATTCTAAGCTTCCCCTGAGGGCACCAGTGACACAAGAGCAAATTCTCACTAATATATACATATACACACAGGCCAAAGGGAGTCCCCATGGTCCAACGGCTAGATGCTTGCCTGTAGATCGGAAGGTCGTGGGTTCGGGTCCTGACAGGCGCTGGACGTTTTGTTTTCCTTCAAAACTGACTTCGGCTCTCAGGTCGACTCAGCCTGGAGTGGCTACCAGGTAGTCCTGGGAAGTAAAGGTGGAGGCGTGATGCTGACTACATCACCCACTAAGAGCAATTTGGTCTATTAAAAAGAATTGGTCTAGCCCTATATACCCAATACTCCTGAAGGCGTAGAAAAGGGTCCTTTCCTTTACTTTTACACACAGACCAAAACAGACTCCAAATGTTGACTTTTTTTTTTTTTTAATAAACGGGGTATGAATATATTTTTTAAAGGTTTACATGGTCATGTGAATGCATGCACATACACACACATGTACATTACATAATTCATGACAAAATGAAACTTACATGAGCATGTGTAATGAGCAGTTCAATTGCACGTGTTTGGTGAGGGGTATCAACCAGCGATGCCAATGATGTTGACCCTTCCCTGGAGCACCAAATGTACAAACATCAAGTTTTATGACAACAGATATCTAATTTTATGACAGCGACAAACATCAGAGACAAACTAAGTTAATGACAAGGACAAGTATCAATATGGTCCTGCTACCATAACATTTTCCAGTTTACCCCTCCAAAATTCCTTGCTGTCAAATTTTCCAGTTCACCCCTCCAAAATTCCTACTTTCCAGTTTACACTATCAATGCTGTCAATGTGTTTTCCACTTTACCCCTCAATGAATCTATCACAGCCTTTTCCAGTTTACACTATCAATGTTCCTGCTGTCAATGTGTTTTTCACTTTACCCTTCTAATTATCTGCTATCACAGCCTTTTCCACTTTACCCCTACAATGTTCCTACTATCACAGCCTTCTCTAGTTTACTTCTTCGAAGCTGCTGCTATCACAGCTTTTTACAATTTACTCCTCAAATGTTCCTGTTGTAAAATTTTGTGATCTACCCCTTCCAACATTCCCACCATCACATAATTTCCAATTTAACATCCCACCATCACATAATTTACAATTTAACATCCCACCATCACATAATTTACAATTTAACTCTTATCTTGACGTGATCAATGAATGTGAATGATCTATTTCTGATACTCCTGAAAAACAGCAACAGGTAATTAAAATTCCAACTTCACGGCAAATAGATCACAACATAGTTGCTCCATGCCAGTGCCAAGAAAAACCACACAGAATATACATCACTGTGCCTTGTGAAAAAAATGACAATGACTTTAGTCTTAGCAAATCCAAAAGCATACACACATAATAAATGCACACAATTAATTACATAAGGCACCACAAGTTCTTGGGCAGCAGGCAACTTGTCATTTTATAAATCTGCAGTTCACAACACAAATCAAGTTGGGCACAGTAAAAAAAAAAAAGTATTCCAAATGAAATCTGAAGCTCACAGTGTCACACCATGCACTCAATTCAGTAGCTGTGCGATGGAACTATAGAGGTGTATATATCAACTTACAGTGGTCGAAGCAAGGTGGGTCCAAACACAATCCCCAGGTTACTGGCACTCATCTGGTTGAATTCAGAGTGAGATGCTACCCTGTTTGAAGAAAAAACATATTTATATGAAGTATTAGCAAATATACTAAAAATTAAAATTAAAATCTTTTAACATAAAGTTAGTAGCAAATCTTTTAAAGGGCGTTTGCTTCTTCTTCTTCTTCTTCTTCTGCGTGCGACATCAGTCATGCTAAACATTGAGTCCCGTCTAGGTTACAAATAGGATTGTGCGTTAAAGGTCGCCACTGGTCCCCCATAACTTCTCTTGCAATGTGGCTCCCTTGGGCCAGAACCAGTCTTTGCTGGGAGAGGTTAGGGCAGTACTGTAGTATGTGCTCAGGGGTCTGTCTTTCTGCTCCACAATCACAGGCAGCAGATTCTTTTATGCCTATCCTGTACAAGTGTGCTCGAAGACCACAGTGTCTAGTCCGAAGTCTAAAAATTGATGTTTGTTCTTTCCTGTTGAGTTTGTTTATGCTGTCACTCTCTGGTCTGTAATCTCCATTCTGCCTTCTCCACTCCCGCTTGAAAGACTGCTTTAGCGCTGTTTTGGTTTCCTTGTAGCTGTGTGGTGGATGAGGTTGTGGAAGATTACTCCCAGCTTTTGCCAACTCATCTGCTCTCTCATTTCCTTAAATACCACAGTGGGCTGGTATCCACTGCAAGACCAGTTCTGCTTCCTTGGAGAGTAAGCCAATGTTGGTCCTTAAATCTGCAATTAGTTTGTCTTGTTTTTTTGCTGGATAGTGCTTGGAGAACAGACAGTGAGTCACTAAGTATAACAATTTGGTGCCCTCTGTGTTCTTGAGTGATGAGATGTTGGACTGCAGAGAGGAGGGCAGTTGCCTCAGCTCTGAAGTTAGTGCAGATGTCACCTGCTGGTAGAGAGAGTTTCTGCTCTACTGCTAGGGAGTTTAATGTAAATTCCACAACCCCCTTTTTGACTGCATCTGTAGCAGAGCCGTTGGTGAAAACCTGAGTCCAAGTGGTGTTTGGATACTTCTCATCAAGCATAGCAAGAGCCAGAGTTCTCTGTTATGTCTCCGTATGGGCATCTTTTGAAGTGATCCCTGGTACCTTTAGGACTACATTTGCTTTCTCTGGCTTGCTTGTCCATGGTTCTGGCCTAAGTTTTTCGCACAGTGCAACATCTCTTTCAAGCAGATCTCGGTGCTGTCTGTACAGTTCTCTAGCATGGTGGTTGGGGCTCTGACGCTTCAGTCTGTTTTTTGTTCTCTCTTGAAATTTAAAATGCAGTGAATGACTTTCAAGTCTTTTTAATTTCTCTTACTGTAAAAGAGTTTTGTATTGTCTTCTGAGTTCGAGTGGTTCAGTATCTGCTATCCTTTATATCTCTCTGATGGGGGTGGTTTTCATGGCTCCGAGAACAATCCTTAATCCCATATTCTGAACCTTGTCCAGTTTTCCCATTGTTGTCTTGGCTGCTGCAGCCCATGCAGTGGAGGCATATTCCATGACTGGCCTGACTACTCCAGTATATACTTGTTTAAGGATTCTAGAGTTAGCGCCCCATGTGGTACCCGCTAATTTATTCATCACTGCAAGCTTCTTGAATGCTTTCCCCTGTACTGCTTCTACATGTGACTTCCAAGTTAGGCGCGAATCAAGTGTAACGCCCAGAAAGGTAGGAGTGTCAGTCTGTGGAATGAGCTGGTTTTTTATCCAAATTTCAATTTTTTCTTTTTTGGGGGAGAGAGAGAAAAGTGATGCTGTGCTTTTTGAATTATTTAGCTTTAGACCCCAATTTTCGGTCCAGGCTTCTACATTTTCCACAGTTTTCTGTAACAGATATGAGGCTGTGGTAGTGTATTTGGAGACTGTCCAAACTGCAAAGACATCGACATGTGAGGTATTAGAAACGTGCTGGTGGCAGGTTGCTGTGAAATCATTTATGTAAACCAGGAACAGAGTTGGTGCTATCGCACTGCCCTGGGAAACTCCTTCTCTTAGTTTTGCCAGTTTGCCGATGTGTCTATCAATTCTGAATCTGGCCCTGCATTGGAAAAGAAAGTCTTTGATCCACTTGTACATTTTGTGCACAACTCCTGCCTGTAGCAGTTTTAGTTGTAGGCCTTCTTTCCAAACTGTATCAAAAGCACGAGAGAGGTCAAAGAAGACAGCAAGAACTTTCTTTTTTTTCCTGGAAGGCATTCTCAATTTCCTGTGTCAGATATGTCAACTGGTCCTCTGTATTTCTGAGCTGTCTGTATCCTGTCTGCTTGGTGGTGATTACAGAGTTTGTCTCCAAGAACCACATTAGTCTTTTATTTACTAATTTCTCCATCAATTTTCCTACACAACTAAGAAGACTGATGGGTCTGTAGCTTTTTGGGTCTCTTCTCTCCACTCTTTTTAAGGATAGGCTGGATGAGGGCTTCCTTCCAGGCTGACGGTACTACCCCTTTTTGCCAGCTCTGGTTGTAAATGCAGAGGAGAAACTTCTTGGCAGCAGGTCCAAGATGAGAGAGAAATTCGTTTGTAATGAAGTCAGCCCCTGGGGCTTTCTTCATTTTCAACTCTCCAATTCCAACTTCCAGCTTTTGCATAGTAAACTTTTCTGACATGCAGGCCTCTTTTGTTTTTGTGCTAGAGTTTGCTAGAAGAGTCTTGGTCTGGTTTCATATTTCTTTTATTCTTTGCATGGTAATATGAACCTCAGTTTCAGCTAGCACATCTGCTGCTGTCTTGCCAGTAACAGCTCCATCGTCTGTTTGGAGTACAACTCTTGCTTTTCTGTCTTGTCTCCATTCAAGCTTTTTGAGAGATTCCACAGATGTGAAGTGTCCTTCTCGAGGTTAAATGACGCTGTCTTTTTGTGCCAGCTTTCCCTCATCTGATTATTACTCTCTTTGATGAAGGCTGCTTTTGCTCTGTTATGAAGTATTACATTTGTATCTGTCGGATCCTCCTCCATATTTTCCCTCCTGGTACAAAGTTTGGAATTAATCAAGTAACAGAAAGTATTGTGAACGGCACTCATAGAAAGAAGTAGAAAGATAGAAGAATACGGACAGAATTCATTTCAACCCATTGAAATGGCACCATAGGTTACAGAAATTTATATTAACGAAGCAAATGTCGAATAACAATCACAGCAACAATTTACGAACACAGTAAGACTATGGAATACGGACAATAAGGTCTGTCCGTATTCCATAGTCGTGGATTTCAAGCTGTACGATAGACATGGCCAATGAGACACCTTTTTTTGGGGGTGCCTAGTTGACCATGTATCTTAGTGCACTTATATTCATGGCAAGGCGCAGACGCCGTCTGGAGGTGACAGGTTCAATTCCCAGCACGGTAACTATAGCTTTCGATTTTTATGTTGTCTTGTGTGTTCTTCTATCTTTCTACTTCTTTCTATGAGTGCCGTTCACAATACTTTCTGTTACTTGATTAATGCATAATATTTAACGGCCTCAAATGGTTCCCCCCTCTGTTTATTTATAAGTTTGAAATGCAGAGTGTCCAGTTCAGGCGACCAGTAAGGTTTACAGTTTTTCCTGCTGCCTCGTGGTATGTTACCCTAGGCTGCATTTAGAATAGTTGTGTTGAGGATCTTCAGTTTGGTGATGTACTCCCATGTTTTCTTTCTCATCACACGGCCAAAGAATGCAAGTTGTCTCTTTCTGATGTACTAGCAATTACAAAATACAAACCAAGCTTACCTATGTAGATGATGCATGAGCACAGCACAAGTGCACAAGTTTGAAGATGGCAGTCTAGAAATGAGTCGCTTCAACTGTTCTAACAAATTTTCTCCAAACAACTGGCCTGACATGTTTTCCTAGATTTGTGACAAATCAAATAATAGAAATGAAACAAATATTCTCAATCAAATAACAGTAATGGAGAGATTATTCTAGAACAACGGTTCCTAATTAGCTAAGACCTGCAGACCGCTCTTATTTTCACCGGTTTGCCAGGATCATATGCTAACTGAAAGTCATAGGTTTGTCCCAAAATAAATAGTTTTATATATATATATATATTAGAAATGCAAAAAAGGATTGCAATTCTAAAGTTGAAAAACAAAATTTTTTTTTTTTTTTTGGTTAATGATATCACAGACCACGTAAATTTGATCCCCCACCCAGGCAAAGACTGTTCTAGAATGTTACCAAGTCAAAAGTATCAGACACCCTGTTCTGAGTCATTTTCCACACAATAAATAGTTCCTTCTCATACAGAAATGGAAGTGAGTATTTTTATGTTAAATAATTAGAAGTCTGTGAGTTCACATTTACATAAGAAGATAGTTCATATTCACAAAATTAAAGATAAGTTAAAAATATCAAGATTGGGGTTCATGTTTAAATCAGTAAAAGGTATCTGTTCATCCTAACAAGTTCATATCAATCGAGTCTGGTTTTTGTTTATATTCAGGAGCACCGTTCATGTTCACACCCACAAGACTGGTCATATGTTGGCATCAATAGAGTCTGGTTCATATTCACACCCACAGAATAAAGCTTATGTTTACATCAATAGAGTCTGGTTCATATTCACACCCACAGGATAACACTTTTTTTCCCATCAACAGAGACTGGTTCATATTCACACCCACAGGATAAAGCTTTTTTTTCCCATCAACAGAGACTGTTTCATATTCAAACACACAGAATAAAGCTTATTTTCACACCAACAGAGTCTGGTTCATGTTCACACCCACAGGATAAAGCTTATGTTCACATCAACAGAGATTGGTTCATATTAAAACCCACAGGATAAAGCTTATTTTCACACCAACAGTCTGGTTCATGTTCACACCCACAGGATTAAGCTTTTGTTCACATCAACAGAGTCTGGTTCATATTCAAACCCACAGGATAAAGCTTATGTTCACATCAACAGAAACTGGTTCATATTCAAAGCCACAGGATAAAGCTTATTTTCACACCAACAGAGTCTGGTTCATGTTCACACCCACAGGATAAAATTTATGTTCACATCAACAGATTCTGGTTCATATTCAAACCCACAGGACAAAGCTTATTTTCACATCAACAGAGTCTGGTTCATGTTCACACCAGGAGAGTATTTTTCACAGTGACATAAACAGGGTAGGGTTCATGTTCAAATAAACGGAGTGATGTCCATGTTCGTAATAACAGAGCAAAGTTCCTGTTCACAAGACCAGAGTGAGATATATGTTCACATAAAAGAGCAGGCTTTGTGGTCACAGCAAACTCATGAAGAAACTACATTTTAAATAGCTTGAATAAAATCTTAAATTAAGTGTAAAAATAGAATTACCAAAGGAACACAAAATAAAGGTTTAGGAAACAAAATAATTAATTAACAATATAAACAAACAGGAGGAGTTCTTATCTTTACCATCTTTCCTTCTCAGTCCTTCATATACCATTTTACAAGTGATCTAGAAAATGTTATTTTTAAAGGCTGGGTACACTTAAAGCTGTAATGGTTAAAAGAAAAGCAACCCCCCACCACTGCTCAACCACTTTGTGGTAAGCAAAGTTGACTAATAACTGTGCTACAGTGTTTTAAGATCTTAAAAACAAGACGCAAATATACAAGAGCTCACCTTGGCAGCATGAATGAAGTCCGAGTATAATCTAAATGTTAATAAAGGTTCCGGAAGCTGAAAAAGAAAAAGCAAGAATTTAGAAAATCAAAGGCTAGTAGAAAAAATCAATTTAAAAAAAAAAAAGTATGCAATCTCATTTTTTTTTTTAAATAATATGTTTTAACAATTTACATCACTATAGATTCCACCAGAGTTTACAGCTGGTGAATGTGAAAAAGAAAGACTATAGATTTGTAACTAGCATGCATGCTTAGTCCATTAAAAAATTCTGTTCCCTTGAGAAGATGGTTACAACATCTCCTATCTTAACCTCAAAAATGGCAGAAACATACTTGATCAATCTTCACTTCCAGGTATTTTCACTCATTGGTATTTATCAGTCTAGTCATTACATCACAAACTATATGTCCCATTTATGCTTCTTCAAACTTGTTAATATAAGTTCATCACTTGCGAGTGGGTCCGCTCATGCATTACCTCTTTACTCCAAGATGTCCTGGTGTGCAGATCCAGAGGGGTGAAGTGCGAAGAAAATACTAATGAAATATGGGATATACATCTACCAATATGTTATACTTTGTGGTAAATTACCCTGTAATGTCATGACGATAACAACATTATAACCAATCAACATCATGGAACTATAAGGTAACTAAATATTAAGATCAGCTTCAATGCTAAAGTGGCAAGCACTGCTTCAGAGATTCTCCAGTAGTTAGCGTCCTTTAGATTTTTTCTTTAGGGATATGCAGGTGTGTTAGGAAATGAACAGTGAGAATGGGTGGTGCTACACCAGTGCATGGTGACTTCATGTATGACAAGCTATATTTTTGATCAAAGCCCTTTCATCATCATCATTAATTCTCGTTATGCCTAGCGGCACATGAGGCTTCAGAGAGGACTCTCCATGCTTTTCTGTCCTGTGCAATCTTCAGTAGTTTTCCATGTCTGAGATGCTGCTTTCAGGTCACTTTCCATCATTCTTCTCCATGTTGTTTTTGGGCTCCGATTTTTTCTCATTCACTCTGGTATCCATGCGAGAGCTGTTTTGGCAGGCATATCAGGATTCATTTTCATAACTTGGCCAAGCCATTTCCATCTTCTCTTTGTTATCATACTGTCCAGAGTTTTTCTGTCACAGCCATTTGGGGGGAAAATAAACAATGCGGAAGCATGAAAAGATCACTATGGTATGGAGAGAATGGTGAGACGGGGATCTGGCCAATACTCTACACTAAGAGGAAAAGTAAGATGGGCATATTTCAAACTGCTGCTTGGATCATCAGACCTGGAAATCTTTGTTGGCTGCTGAAGATAAGGAAAGAGGCATATATGGAAATGTGCCAAGTGCTGTGTTGCCAGTTCTTGACTCAACTCAACTCAGCCTAATGTTGGAACATGGAGTGTCAAAACACTTATCCAAAACGGAACACAGGTTATTATATAGAAGTGAGTTGAGTTGAGTCAAGAATTGACATCACAGCACTCAGGACATTCCCATGCATGCTCCATCATCATCTTCAGCAGCCAGCGCAGAGTTCCAATACTGATGGTACGGGTCACAATCTGGTTTTATGTCCACCTTGCCTTTCCTCTGACAGTAGTGAGTCGTCCAGACCCTCTAGTTACACCCAGGTGCCTTATTCTCTCCAAGCCATAATAATCTTCTTTCTCTACTGATTCGTTTGCTTGTTCCCAAAGGGCCTTGACCACATTTGCCTTGTCATGTATGTGATTATATAGAAAGAATCATAGACATATCTTATCATAAATAATGGGTTGGGGGAGGGGGGCGGCCCTGGGGTGAATACAAAAAGGGACTGATATAATAATGGATTTGTGAGAGCAAAATCTATTGAGTCCATATTCATATATGATGAGACAGACACGTAGCATTGAACCAGTGCAATAAATTAAAAAGAATCATACACGTGAGGGACTTCAATTAGAAGAAAACACATACCCACACTTAAGGAGAGCCATAAAGAAGACCCACTAGGCATCCGACAGACCGCTAACACAAAGAGTAAGCTTACCAACCAACCAAGCAAAGGACCAGACAAATTCCCCAGCCCAGAACATCACCCGCATGGACAACATGAGAACAAAAACCAGAGAAATCAGGGGCATCAAGGTGCTACTCACTAAAATAAACTAACAAAGAAGTAACGCAAATGAAGAATGACCATAAATATTACCAAAGCTTGCATAGAAGTAGGCTGAATATGTTCGACCCCCCCCCCCCCCCCCCCCTCCAAAGAACTAGAAATAAAATAGAATTTAACGCAAAAGTGGGCAAGGAAAAAAGAGAATAGCATGTCTGGCAGCTATAGTCTTGGCCAGAGGTTCTCAATGAGCTAACACATGCTGACCCCTCTTATTCTCTGAAGGGCTCCCACAAACCCCATACTTATTATAACTTGTTAATAATCGTACTGAATAACATTTTTCTAATTCATAAATATTACAATCGCAGATAACAGATTAATTAAATTTATTCCATGAACCCTAGGGTCCACTGACAACCAAATGGAGAAAGACTGGTCGAATGAGACTATACATTCTGAACATCTTTTTAACTGGTAAGAGGCACAATAGAGGGAATAGAGGGAATTAAATGGTATGATAGAATAACTAATGTAGAGCTTTGGGAGAGAACTAAACTGGCTCCAGTGGACCAAGAGGCAAGGAAAAGATTGGATAGGACACACACTGAGAAAACAAGAGAACAGCATAACTAGAATGTCTTTGCATTGAAACCCACAGGGGCATAGGAATAAAGGAAGGATAAAAAAACACATGGAGAAGAGAGTTGGAGAATGAAGTTAGAAAAATGGGAAGGACATGGGGAGAGCTCCATGTAATGGCGAAGGATAGAACGACTTAGTGTGAGTGGTTGACAGCCTATGCTCCACTGGGGGAAAGAAAGCCAGAAGAAGAAGAAGAAGTGGCACAAATGTTGTACATACAGTATACAGAAATAAAATATATTACAATGTCCACATTTGTATGGCTACTTTCATACACCCTATATGTCAAACAAGCTTGGTCACCCACATATCTTTAGCATTAGTCTTGGTTATACTGATCTTCACATTAAATTGTGTGCTCACTATAGATAATTTGTTTATATGGTACATATATTTCTTTAATGTTTTGTAGTGTATGTATGTATATATATTTATATGTATTTTGGCTTCTTATCTGATACAGATTTATTGTATGGATAAAAGCAAAAATTATCAAGGAGAAAGTTCATAATTAAAATCAACCAAGGAGAAAGTTGATAATGGCATGGGGGGGGGGGGGGGGGGGGGGGAGACTCCCACTTTATAACATCAACTCCCCGTGAAGGTTTCAGGACCCCATTGTGGGGAGAACAAGAATAGACCCACTGCCTGCCTAAAGGCATGTCATAGGAGTTGACTTATTGGGAGCTTCCTTTGAAGTACATCTGCCTGAGAGGCAAGGAACCAACAGTCTGCATGCAAATGAGTCAGACTGTGAAACGGATGTGAACGCAACACTCAGTTTCTAGAAAACGTCTAGAGTACAGAAATGGACGAGCAACCAGAGCTTTCTACCGGAGTTTACAGCCGGTGAATGCAAAGAAGAAGATAACATCAACAACTGGAGGAACACTGGAGGTTACTGATGCAATGCTAAAAAATAAGTAAATGTTGATTGTCACTGGCAGAAGACAAGAGAAAGAAGAAACAAATTTACACACACTCTAAACGTCAGAAAACTGAAATGATATCAGCCAGATTATTCAACATTTTCAGGAAAACAGATGTTTTAACTCACCTGTCTGAGATAAAGTTTGAGTACATTGGAGATGATGTTTGGATGAACATCCTCTAGGTCGACTGCCTCTGGGTCTATGTCAAACCTCTGGCACAAATGCTCCACCTTGCTTTTCACTCCTGACACCCGGTAAATACCCTTGAGACAATATTACAGAATTTATACAGCTTTCGTTTTGAGGGAAAACAACAGTTATGGTATCATATAGACATCATCCCTATGCGGGTTCCTGAGTTTCATATTTGTGTGTTTGTGTGAGTTTGTGTGTGTGTGTGTGGGGGGGGGGGGGGGGGATAGGCCTCTGCCCCTTAACAAGCATAAGAAGTGATTCAAAGTGTTTGCTGAATGTATTTAGCCGACAGGTGCAGATATCACAGCCTAACTGTAACCAACAACAGAACGTGCCAACTACAATTTTAAGGGTGAACGTAGATGAAGACACATTCAGGAGATTAGAAGATGCACTGGTGAGCATTATAATAGCTGGAAATATGAGCGGAAGAAGAGGTAAAATATGGGAAATTACACTGGGTGATCTAAACCTGACATTGTGGAGTATTAACCGAAATGATCTAGAAAACCAGCAATTAAGATCAGTTGAGAGAACCATGTTGTAGTTCTGCTGCTGCCCCTATTTTTCTTTGGATTTCATTGTTTCTGATCTTATATTTTCTTGTTATATTGACAGCCATTTGCAGGAATCTCATTTTAGTTGTAAATTTTTAAAAATCTTTTTCTGTCATTGTCCAGGTTAGGCACTGATAACCCAGGGTTGGCAAGGAGACTGTGTCATAGAGGTCTGAGGTTTGAAAAACAGTTCAACATCATGGCACATGGGTAGTAACCCATAAGAACTCTGTTCTTCTAACTCAAGCGTGAGTCCGAAAAAGCTGAGAACAGTGCACAGGCTAAGTAGCACCTGCGAGGATCCTGAAATATTTTGGATAGATTTTCAACTTCAAATTTTGCTCAGGCAATGCCGTCAGGCTACTCTTTTCGATTTCCAACTGTAAAGAGATTTCTTACGTGCACAACAATGCACACGAGCGTCCGATCTCGTTACCCTGAGACCAGGGCGAATTACTAGAAGTCCATATCCAAATCAACGTGAAAAAATCCCAGCTCTTATCAGGGATTTGAACCCGGAACCTCTTGCACTCGAGGCGGACAACATGCCTCGAGACCACGCAGCCCCCTCTGTGTCATAGAGGGCTCTTTTTGTTTATATTGATACATGTTTGTTTCTTAGTATTGATGCTTCCTTCAAAGTCAGAGTGCATCTGCCTGAGAGGCAAGGAACCAGCAGTCTGCATACAAAGGAGTCAGATCTGTAAAACGGATGCACATGCAACACTCAGGTTCTGGAACAGGACCGCAGTCCAGAAGTGGATGAACAACCAGAACTTTCCGCCAGAGTTTACAGCTGGTGAACGCGAAGAAGAAGAAGTATTGGTGCCATTTTCCAAATGAATCGTTTCGCTTTGTTACATCTGTCTGGTTCACTGCTGCCTAAATCAGTCTGTTAAACTTAGTTCTGTTTCTTCGAGCGGTGAAAGTAATCCCCTGCCCGGTTGATAGGCCAGTCACAGGTTAAGGACAGAAAAAAAAACTAACCTAGGTGAGTCCATCCACCTAGGTGAGCCACAGCCCCATGGGCCTATGACCTCGCTGTAATGGTTGTCCAGTATATATCATGTGGGGGGAGAGGCTCACCTTTGTGGTCTACGGGTCATCAACGGGCTACTGATTTTCGCTTTTGATTTTTTATGCGCGCGTGCGCGCGCTCGCATGCACACACACACAAACAGAGAGAGAGAGAGAGAGAGAGAGAGAGAGAGAGAGAGAGAGAGAGAGAGAGAGAGAGAGAGAGAGAGAGAGAGAGAGAGAGAGAGAGAGAGAGAGAGAGTGAGAGAGAGAGAGAGAGACTAGCCGATCCCAACTCTACTGGGATCAAAGTCAATGCAAAGAAAAATGCAAGTTTTACAGATAAAACTAATTTTGCAATAAGCCCCTACCTTAATCATCACACCCCGCTTGTCAATTTCACTGAGGCATTTAGACACAATAGGAGGCACTTTAGTCCGGAACTTATCAACTTGTTCCTGAAAGTCTACCCCGAAAGTAGTGTTTCGTCGCCCCCCTCTGTGAAGCTAAGAAGAAACAGATCAGACAAGTCATTTATTTAAAGTTGATACAACATGTACACATCCTCTAGTGGTGAAATCTGCTTTGAGTCTCTGTGATGTTTATTGCACAATTCGGTACATTTTAAATTCTGTATACGTTGACTGGATGCTATGCTTTGTTGAAGCCACACCAATGAATCATCTTCATTCAGTCTTGTGCAGACAAAATGATATGGTCATGGACACGTGAGTGCAGCTGATTTAGTAATTCAGTCAGAAGGATTAATTTATTCCTTTCATTATATTCAATCATTAATGTAGTTGACACCTGATGAGGTACAGCAAAATATGCCATGCAATAAACTGTGCAATGAAACTTTTTGTATCTGCTTTCTTCAAATACAAGTTAGCATTTGTTATCTTTTACTAGTACGCTTGCTTGCCAGGACACTGGTCTGAGTTAAACTCCCTAGTATAGCAGAATGTTTCTTTACCACTACAGTTAGGTAAGAGCAAGAGGGATGAAGCAGTTAGATGCTCGCACGTGGATCTGAAGGTCATGGATTTAAATCCCAATGGAGTTTGACTTTTTTCAAAAAAAAATTGTGGGTCCAATTTACATTTCCTGGACCAGGATGAGAGTGACTTCCCTTGCCATTTATGACTCGATGGGTTGCAGGACCTCTCCTATGTTGCAGGTGTGTTCGGATATAGCTGGCATTTGTATAGTCGACGTTCGCTCGGCATATAGAATTTTTGTGGGAGATTGTGTTGTGAGTCTATTTTGGGCACCACAGGCACCAGTGTACAAGTTACAAGTAAGAAGTACTGCGCGCGGGGGGTTGGGGGGCAATTTTCACGATTCTTGAGTACCGAATCTAGGATGTTTTTGTATTTCTACCTTTGTTCGAAAGGAATGATGACTCGAATGGGGTCTGCTTATCCTAGCCTTGAACAAGTAAAAGGCCTTACTTCACATCCCAAGTGATAATTTGTTACGGGACCTACTTTATGTTATAATAGAAGGGAGCATCGGTAACACAGTGAACAGCACTCTTTTCTGTTGATCCCGTTGCACTGTGTTTGAAACCCCCTTGAGATAGGGATTCCCCCCACACCCCAACCTTTATAGGGACTCCCAGGCTGACCGATCCTAAAACAGATACCAAGAAACTTCCCAGGAAAAAAAGGTGACCGGCATGATATTGACTAAATCATCCAGTAAGTACAGACTGATCAAACAAATATATTAGATTTGGTACCTAGGTGAGCCACAGCCCCGTTGGCCCATGACCTTGTGGCAATGGTTTCCAAGTATACAAAATGTGGAGGTGAGGCTGACCTGTGTGGTCTACGAGTCATAAACAGGCTACTGATATTTGCTTTTTGCCCCTCCAGAGAGAGAGAGAGAGAGAGAGGGAGGGAGGGAGGGAGGGAGGTAGGTAGGGAGGGAGGGAGGGAGGGAGGGAGGGAGGGAGGGAGGGAGGGAGGGAGGGAGGGAGGGAGGGAGAGAGAGAGAGAGAGAGAGAGAGAGAGAGAGAGAGAGAGAGAGAGAGAGAGAGAGAGAGAGAGAGAGAGAGAGAGAGAGAGAGAGAGAGAGAGAGAGAGAGAGAGAGAGAGAGAGAGAGACTAGCCAATCCCAACTTTACTGGGATCAAAGTCAATGCAAAAATCAATGCAAGTTTTAAAATCATTTATTTTATAACTTCATGACATGAAAAAGGGTCATTTACGTTTTACGACTTACAACATGCCTGTGGTTTCAGTTGTACAGTTCTTTGATAACCATTAAAAAAAAATGTATTATATTCGGTATGTTCTTCTAACATACATTTTTATTTCAAGCAACATTACCAGAAGCATTCCAGGCAGATCTAAAGTTTCAGTGTCAGGTACTGTCGCTGTTCTTTTCATAGCTGCAACCTTTCTGTCTTTACCTGCAACAAATATACACTGTGGTAAAAACTAGAATTAGGTTGACATTTTATAAATGTTATTTTCTTGGGGGTACATGCTCCCACAAATATTACTTAACTGTTGATCAATTAATCCCAGTTCCAACTTTATTGCAAAACTGCTCCATTCTTGTGCCACAGAAAGCCATACAGAATGCCCATCTCATTGTTTCTGATCTTATCTCTTCTTGTTATAATGAGAGCCCTTCACAGGAATCTCATTTCAGTTGTAATTTTTCTTTTCTGTTTTTGTGTCAATGTCCAGGTGTTGCATTGATAATACAGGGTTGGCAAGAAATTGTGTTATACAGTGCTCTTCTGGTTCCTATTGATGCATATTTGTTTCTTAGTTTTGCTGTTATTTGCCCAACGAGTTGGTTTGCTTTGTTACATCTGTCATCGATCTCATCTTCTGTTTTGCCAGCTGATGATATTGTGTTTCCTAAGTATTTTAAGTTCTTGGTTTGTTTCAGAGGGTGTTCTGTAAGCTGGATATTTATTGTTTTGTCTACTTTAGCTATGGCCACAACCTCTGTTTTGTTGGCGTTAATTTTCACGCTAAGCTCTTTGCGAATATGGTTTAAATAATTTATATGGTCTTGCAGTTCAGTTTTTGAAGTAGTAATTAGTGCTTGGTCTCATCTGCAAATAGTAGTTCTTTGATGAAACTGTTTGGCTTTGGATTTTCATGTCCTTGATATATTACAGTCCCTGTTTGGTTGGTTTCTTTACAGATGTTATCAATGTAAGTTATGAAGAGAAGGGGAGACTGAACACAGTTCTGCCGTACTCCAGATTTTATAGTGAATGGTTCCTCCGTTTGTTCCAACAGTGCATTCACTGTTGTTATACAAGCTTTTACGTATGCTTATTAAAGGTGTGTTCACACAGTAACCTTTCAAGATTTCCCATAGTTTTCTCCTATCTACTCTGTCAAATGCTTTTTCTTAATCAATGAAGGCTAAATAGAATATTTAGTTAAATTCAATTTCTCTGTAGGTTATCTGAGAGCAATGATGGAATCTGTGCATCCCATGTTTTCCTAAATCCTAGTAGCGCTTCACTTAGCCAGTAGCTTTAAATGCAAAACACAGCCATCAGAATGTGCCATCAAAAACATTCTGAGTTGAGTTGAGTCAAGAATGGACATCATAGCATGTGTGCACCGCAGCCAGCCCAGAGTTCCAGTATTGATGGTACCAGCCACAATCTGGTTATATGTCCGTCTTGCCTTTCCTCTGAGTGTAGTAAGCCGGCCAGACCCTTTGGTTACACCCAGGTGCCTCATTCTCTCCAGGCCATAATCACAATAATCACAAACATGCTGCTACTAGAAGAGCAGTTTAACATTGATGGAAGTAGCAGTGACAATAAATCAGCAGCTAAACATGCAATTAACTGCATAAGGTATAACCAGTTGTGTGACAACAAGCCACTTGACCATTTTTCTGAATCTGCAGCACACAACAAACCACCTTTTCCACAGTCAAAAAGCATTCAAAATTAACTCACAGCTCAGTGTCACACCATGCACTCAATTCAGTAGCCGGACAGCGGAACTATATACCTTCAGTCCACATATGTGGGAAAATGCAACAGCTAACCTTGGCCAGAAGCAAATAACTTGCCAAAACATAAACAGTCAGGTGGCCTATCCACCATACTGACCACTTTCACTCATTTATTATACTACAGCTCAAGATAGGGATGCAGTGAATTTGATGTACTAGAATTATGTGCCACAGGACTGTTTTTGTTTCCATGAAATATGACCTGTTCTTCTGTATATCCACATTTCTAGAGACAGTTCAACTTTCTAGTTGCTTGTTCATTGTCCAAGTTTCTGCACCATACAGAAGGATTGAGTATACATAGCATATGATGACTCTCATTTTTAGTGTGTTGTTTATCTCTCTAGCTGTCAGTAATTTGCACATCTTATTGAAATAGTTTTAGCCATTCCCATTCTCTTTTTTATTTCTGTTTTGCTTCTTCCATTATCTGCTACTAAGTGTCCTAGATAGGACCACCACTGGTGGTCACTCTTTTCCATTGTTTATAACCATAGTTTTTGTTTTTCAAATAACAATATCTAAACCATACTCTGCACTCCGCCTGTTTACTTGATCAACTAGGTCTCGTAACTCCTGCTCACTTTCAGCTAGTGACACTGTGTCAACAGTGTATCTCAGATTGTTGTTCTTCCATTTATATTCAGTCCAGGCAATTCCTCCACTTGTTTCAAAATGTTTTCTGTATATAAGTTGAAAAGGCTTAGGGATAATGCACATCCATGACGTACTCTTCTTTTTATCTCTATCTGTAGTGAGGCGATGTTGTGTCTAACTGTTGCTATTTGTTCCCAGCATACGTTACTAATCATTCTGAAATCGTTTCCATCTAATCCTGTATTTTGGAAGCATGCAATAAGCTATATATTGCACCTTGTCAAAGGTCTTCTTGTAATATATGAAACTTCATAAATACATTTATGGACTTTTATATATTTTTCAGTCAGACTCTTTAGTCAAATTAGAACAGCAGTGAGCCTGCTTAGCTACTGATGGTGGTCATGAGTTCGAATCTGCAACAAGGTGAATTGTCAGGGCTCCCAGGCTGACCCAGCATAAAATAAATACCAGAGAAATGTCCTACGAAGCAAAGGCAATCGGCATGATGACCACATCCCCCACTGACTGTCTACTGGTCTATAAAGACATAGGGCAAGCACCATGAGTCCAAGCTCAAATCAGTCGTACCCATGTAATTTTTTTGTTATTTGAAGCCCCACTCTGGCTTCTGCCGGAAGAACTGAATACAGCCCGGGCTGAAATGTGGCCTAGCCATAGATATGGCCCAATGGCTGAAAGGGGTTTCTGGGACCTCACGGGTGATCCTCATCGGCATGGTGGCACTTTGTGCCAACGGGTGCTAATCGCTTGTGTGATGTCCTGGTGGGGTATAACTACCTAACTACCATGAGCCCAATGCTTCTCAAGACATGAAAAGGGTTCAATGAATGTTTTTTTAATTGTTTAACCTGTGGGAACATTCACAGAAAAATACAAGATGTGCTTATTATAATTTTTCCTATGACGAAGCCTGCTGAGGATTACAAACTACTCCTGGGAAATTCGAGAGCTAAAGCTTATGAGAAATTCTTCTCCTGCATTTGCATCGCCCTAAAAAAAAAGGACGGTAGGCACATTCTGTTTATGTGTGTCCTATCCAACGCCAGCATCTTTTCCTCACCTCTTGGTCCACTGGAGCCTGTTTAGTTCTCTCCCAAAGCTCTACATTAGTTATTCTATCATTCCATTTAATTCCCTCTATTCTGCGCAGGCACCAGTTAATGAATGTCTGTAATTTATTAGTAATTGCCTTAGTTGTTCTCCATGTCCCCCCCCCCCACACAAAAGTACTGATTTAACATTAGAATTAAAAAATTTTAGTTTAGTATTTCTTTTAATTTCTTTTGATCTCCACAAATTCCCTAATGCTATGAAAGCTCCTCTTGCCTTTTGTATTCTTATTTTAATATCTCTATCAGTTCCTCCATCTTTATCTATATTACTGACCAAATAGGTGTGTGACTCCACGTCTTGGTGTGCGGCGCCATTAAGAGAAACCACATTACTATTTGCCTGATTTATTCTCATTATCTTTGTCTTTCCTTTATGGATTTTCAGACCAAGCTGCTGTGATCTCGCATCAAGTATATTTAATTTATCTTGCATCTGATTCCGTGAATTGGACAGAAGGTAAATATCATCAGTGAAGTCCAGATCATCAAGCTGTTTTGTAGGGGTCCACTGAATTCCAATCTTGGTGTTAGCAGTTACTGTTTTCATAATCCAGTCTATAGCCAGTAAAAATAACAGAGGCGACAAAAGACATCCCTGTTGCACACCTGTTTTATTATTTCAAATGTATCTGTTAGCTTTCCCTCATGAAGAACTCAACATTTCATGTCTTTATATGTTGCCTTTACTAAGTTAATAATTTTCTGTGGGATTCCAGGTTGCCCCATCAATTTCCAGATAGATTCCCTATCAATGCTGTCAAATATTTTTTCATAGTCTGTAGCTTAAGTGTTGCTAACGCGCTTCGTAATGCTGGGGTGCCAGGTTCGATCCCAGCTGCAGATGGTTTGTCTTGCGTTGGTTTCGACAGTGACACCAAGAGCAAACCATTCAGTAAGCAATGGCAAACTAGTGAACGTAAAATGTGAATAGAAAAAAGCCGCAACAGCCAAAAAAAAAAAAAATGCTGGAGTTGGTTCCTCAACATCCTGTAAACTAACTTTCAACACTGTGTTATGGTTTACCACCAAGCTTGAAGCTCTGCATCTTTAGGCCAAACACATCCAGCTTCAGCAAGCTTCAAATTAGTCCCATTAACAACATGCTTGGTGGGGGGAGGGGGGGGGGCGAATTCTATTATTGGGGGGGGGGGGGGGGGGGGGGGGGATAATTATAACAGCATACCTAATTTATTACTGCGAATATGTTGGACTACCAGAATAACTAACACTGAATGCCTGGAAATTGCTAATGAAAGTAGAACATTATATACAACTAAGAGAAAGAGACAAACAAAGTTCTTTGATCACGTGATGAGAAAAGGAGCTCTGGAAAAAATTTTGACGACTGGAAAGATCACTGGTAGAAGATGCAGATGCAGACGCAGACCAAACAAATGATGGTGGGTGGCTTTAGACAGTGGTATGGGGGAATATTATCAGTGGAACTGATCCAGAACACCAAAGACCGAGATCTGTGAGCATGAGCACATATGCCAGCTGGCAAGGCACTTGATGATGATGGTGATACCTAATTTTCACTGGAACCCAAAGGCAAAAGAAGAGATAACAGGAGAGTTTAAGAAACGATGGAGAAAAGAAGAGATGTTAATACTACATTGAAGATGTGGAGGATGAAGGAAGAGATGGCAAAAGAGAGAACACATTTGTGTTGAGTTTGTTTTTAATGCTTCAGTTGGCGACACTGGGCAGCAGAAGAAGGGAATCACATTTTGATTACCTCTTCTTGGTGAAATGACAGGTGAACCTTCAGGGGAATGCAGGTTATCTGACGCAGATCCATTAGAATGAAAACTTTCCTTACGTGCCTCACCAGATGATGATGATCTGCAACCAAAAAAGTTGTATACATAAAGCAACCTAACACTGAACATGAGAATGTGTGTTCTACAAATGCAACTAATATTAATGGTAAAACTCTGGATACATCACTGTCTACTGAAAAGAAATAAACAGGTGGTGTTCACTTTGAGGCCTTGGGTGCCTTGTTGGTCATGCGTCTTAGTACACTTGTTCCTGTAGCAAGGTGCTTTTGTCATTTTGAGGTGAAGGTTCGATTCCCAGCTTTCGATTTGTATGTTGTCTAGTGTGTCCCTGTCTCTTTCTACTTCTTTCTACAAGTGCTTATCAATGCACGTCTAATTGTTTATTAAATATACTGTCTATCAGACTATACTAAGGAAATCTTTTTGGAAACAGTAGATGAAACAACTAAAACATTTTTTTAAACCACAATAACATGGCTACTCCTTGGCAACATATGATGCAACATCTCCAAACTAAAGATAAAACACTAACATGGCCATCTCTAGGAAAACTGGTGAAAAAACTTTAACACAAGAAAAAAAAAAGGGGGGGGGGGGGGGTTCAAAAATGTGTAAACAGGAACATGTGCATAATGGGTCTGAATGACTACTTCACATATTATGGAAGTGTGTGTGTTCAATCCTTAGTATGAGAGGTATTCTCTGTTTTAAAATGAACATGAGGCTGAGCATTATGTGGGCAAGCAGACTATTAATCAGTTCACAGGAAACCTTCCTTGCAAACACATGAGCAATGCTATTGATGTATTACATATATCATAAACAGGCAATGTGTTAATCAGCACTCACAGAAAGACAGAAGGACACACCAGACAATATAAAATTCGAAAGCTGTAGTTACCATGCCAGGAATTGATCCTGTGGCCTCCAAATGGTGTGTGCGCCTCGCTATGGAAACAAGTGTAATAAGAATATGACCAACTAGGCACCCCTTAATAAGGTGTATTCACTGGCCATGCCTATCGTTCAACTTGAAATCCACAATTCCACAGCAGAAAGATACAAATAGGTCTTGACCAGTGTACACATGGTGCCCCACCACCATGTGTGGTTCAGCACCTCTTTATCTTGCTTGGAAATCATCATCATCCTCATTATCAAATGCCTTGCCGACTTGCGTGGGTGATCACAGCTCTCAACAAGCTGCGATCTTCGCTAGTAGTTCATGTGCTGACACCCCTAAATGTCAGAAATGATGATCAAATGAACGTGTAGGCGCTCATGCTTGTCCACAGCTCACGATCCCTGGTTGCCTGCAACAGCTCTCTTGATGATATCCCTCCATGCGATCGTTTTAGCCCATCCAGCATCATCTCTCTCGGTCTGCCTCTACCCCTCTTGCCGCTGATCTTTCCAGTTGTCACGATATTCTCCAATGTCTATTTTCTCATTATGTGGCCAAAGAACAGTGTTTGTCTCTTTCTTATTGTTGTATCTAGAGATCTACTTTCATTAGCCTCTTTCAAGCAATCGTTGTTAGTTACTCTGGCTGTCCAAGGTATTCATATTATTTGTCTCAGAAACCACATCTCTGTTGCCTCCAAATTCTTATATATATATATATATAAAGAAGAATAAGAATATATCATGATGATAACACAACTATCTAATACAATATTGTACAGAGGTCAATCTTTTTTTTGCATGGTATCATTTAATTTACACAACTGGGGAAGTAAATCAGTTTATTCTTTAATAAGTCTGTTCCACACTATCACTCACTTCTGTCCTTGCATGTAGGGCTCAAAGACAAAAACCTCTGGCTGGCATGAGGCGTTGGTCCCAGGTAATCTTCGTACATACTCTGCATACTGGCTGCCTGGTTGATAGTTCCTACTGCTTTCACATAATGTTTGGTACTGCAGAGGCAGCGGAGACAATACTATATTGTACAGTTTAAAGTATTCCATGGTAACCTGGTGTGAAGAAACAAAAAAATAACAGATGCAATAATTGGACATGCCAGACAAAAGAGACATCAAGTAACTCTTGTTGTGGCTGTTCTTGTGGTGTCTGCTGTAATTGTGAAGGAGTGTGATTTCTATCTGTCATACCTCAGTTAAGTGATTTTGTGCATTCTTGTTCATTTTTGTTGTATTGCAGATTTATGTAATGTACCGATGAAGGATCTCTAGCTGCAATGTTTACTTGTCGTTTGCATTATGGTGAAGCTGAGTGATTCTTCATTTCATTTGGTTTGATATCTTTTCATGACAATGTTGTAACTGTGAGCCCAACTGTACCAGGTTGTTCACTCTTGTATGAACTGATGAAATCAGAGACTGGTGACAGCATGGTTCATCCTAGTAGACAAGCAACACATACATTCTCATGAGTTCTTCATGAAAGGCATGCAAGATGTGGGTACTGATCCTGTGCTATTATCAGAATAAACTCTTTAGACTCAAACTGCAGTGTTTGTAATCCTTGAGAAGCTTCATCAAAGTGGAGATCATAATTTAAGGCCCTAGCAACGCTGTGAGTGTTGACTGAGAAGTTACGATTTACCCAAACAAAATTGTCAACATCGATTGTGTGTTCTGTACTTATTGATTCGCATACGGCTCCGTATTTCTTTCTAATGTTTGGAACTACCATAAAAGTATTCAGGTAAGGTTATTCTAACATTTTTCTTTACATACAGGTCTTCGTTCACACACACACTGGACAAATTGATCCAATTCATTGTAAGTGTAATTTTTCAGACAATGCATTTTTTCTGGCAACTGGCCATGTTCCGAACACACACACAAGCCAAAAAAAGCGCCTTTCTGTAGCTAAAGCTCTGAAAATGATTCAATCAGGTGTTTTTTAAATTGTGATAATGACAAATTTTAATTTTTCGAAAATTGAATCAGACGATGAATTTACACCAGTATTCGTTCTGATAAGGTAAATCCAGGAAGACCCATTTCATTCGCAAATGATGTGATAGTCATCCACATTTGCATCAAAAAGACCATTTCAGACAGTACCATACTCGTACTATGGCTAAACCGCATTGAAATTATTGCAGCTACAATCTATATATAACTACAAAGTCAGTATTTTGTGTGTAAAGGACTAAAGGTCAAATTTTCTGCTATTTTGTCTTCTCTAAAATTTTGTTCAACAAACTATGAGAACATAGAGCCTCTGAGTGAGAAACTAACCCAGAAACGTCAAAATATTTGAATTTGTTAGAAAACTGAATTAACTTTACAGTTTTATTCTCAAATACGGATATTCACAGCTCTTGTGGCTGCAAAACCATGGTAAGTGAAGATTTTTTGTGTAAAATGTTGTCTTTGTAAACCTAACACTTGTTGAATTCTTTTTTTCCTAATAATTATAACAGTATTAAACAAAAATATATCATCAGATTCAAAATTTACATTCAACACTATTTAAAAAATATATATATATTTATAGGGGTTAGAAATATATTACGTTCTTAACTGCTTTTTTAACACTAACTCCTCTGGCATTTTTGTAAAGGGAAATTAATGTGAGCAAAGTCTGTAAAAATTCATGGGCCTGAAAGAGTTGAAAAAATTAAAAACATTTTTTTAAATATTCCAGTTTGCATTTTGTTTCTTGAGCTTACACATTGTTAACTGACTATATTCTTTTTTTGAAATTTGTCTGATATGATCTAGTAGCCTAAACATATGGCCCCTCTCTGACCTGATACAGAATCCCACATCTCCATAGCAGTGCATCGGTTAAAGTAACGGTAATCTCCCCAAATAGAGTAGGTCACTTTTCATTCACAAGTTTGTTGGGCTGGTTTACTTTCCTGAAGGTTACGGGTGTGTCCCGCTCTGTTGTTTGCTTTCTGCGTTGTCTTGCATTTACGGTTTCATTCCCAGAAAGAGAATGCCTGTGACATAGGTTGCAGCACTCTCTAGGGGGTGTTGTGTCAGGGGAGTGTTAAAAGTACTGGCGTGCTGAAATATACAACACACGATATCAGCGGTATTGCGGAACACCCCGGTAACCTTGTGCCAAGGTGACAGGTTCAGGGACTACCAATCAAAAGTGAGCTAGTGTGTATATGGGCTGAGCATGGGGAGACCAACGTTACATGTACCAAGTGCATCTATAAAAGTCTGAACACCTAGATTCTCAGAATTCCAGAAATGTATCAAATATCTGAATTACTCCAAAACTGAAACTACTTCACTAAGTCATGATTTCTGAATAATCTTTTTTATCAAGCAAAAAGTATTTACTGTAAGCAGTAAAGTTAATGATGGTTCATGCAGTGTGTACAATCTAAAAACAAAAATATTTCTTTAGGGAGCACACACACAAAAAAAGTAAAAATATAGATAGCATATGCTGAAAACAATGGAAATGAAATACTCACATCTTTTAGAACCTGATCACAAAGTTGTATCTGCTCCCTAATTTTTGCGAGCAGCTCACCCTGAAAGAAAATATATATAAATAAACTACCAGCAGGCAAACGCTTCCTAATTTGGTCAGCAGCATTTTAAAATTCCCTGCCATCTAGCAGAACAAGTCTGAGATAACATTTCAAACCTCTCCTTTATTTGTAATTTCTTCATTAAGAAAAAAAATACTGACAGAAAGGGCTGAACGTAAATCTTTCAAGAGGGAAAACAAGTATTCAAAATGTTATCTCAGAACTGCACAAACTGATACCTAGAACTCTATAAATAGCATAATACAAAAATATATTAGATGCTATTTTCAGTTTATGAAATTGATAGCAATTATACTCACCTTCACCTTAAACAACTGCTGTTGTCTGTAATTAGCCTCAGCAACGCAGGCCTTGTAAGTTGTTTCTGCTTCAGCAGCCTGTTTACAAACATAAACAATCTGATCATACTATACTGTTTTCTTACTGGATATTTCTACACTGACTGCTATCTTATTTGCTACCTTTGCTATCTCAATGCAAGACTAGATCTCATGCTAACTCCAACAGTACTCTATTTCTATGTACAATGTTCACTTGCTATAGTAATTATGTGAATAATAACATAAACCTTTAAATAATGTGGATGCATACAATATATTGTACAATTTATTGCTTGGCATATATCGCTATATATCGTCAGGTGCATTACTACAGTTACACCAACATATAATAAAGCACAAAATAAATCCTTATCTTGCTGAAATGCATAAACCACATTGTTAGTGCTTGACGAGATACGGTGAAATATGCCAGGCAATAGATTGTGCAATGTAGTGTTTAGCTCTTCTTCTTCTTCAGCATTCCGAGCCCTTGAGGTTCATTGCTGCAGATATCACCTGCCTCCATTCATCTCTCTGCATTATTGATAACAGACATTGGTACTCTGAACAATGAGTGCTTAGAAGGGCCGAATGTCAAGACGAGCCTGTGTAGCTGTCGCGTGCGGATATGTACTGAGTGAGCAAATAGGACATCACAACAATACGTAATGTTGTTAAAGGATTGTTGTCAAAAGCATTCGATGTTTACAGTCTGAAGTGGACAGACATGTGGATCCTTGAGGACGTTATACCCCGGGATGCCACTGAAAGCAGTCATTGTATGAAGTTGGATCCTTGAGGACGCTCTACACCAGGACTCCACTATAAACCTCAGCAGAAAGCTGGTATATTGTCTACTACGTTCGGCAGTAAGCCGGTATACTTATACTATCTTCTTCAGACTGCAGAAGAGAAGATCGAGATGACTGTAAGGATTTTGCAAGGTCGGACTGAGATCGACCTGACTGTTCGGATTTCCAAGGTCGGACTGAGATCGAGATGACTGTCCGGATTTCCAAGGTCGGCCTGCGACACATTATTTGTTTTGAAGTCAGCTGATGTACGAGCGGGCTTTGGTTGGTGTGTTTGGATGAGTCTGTGAGTCTGGAGTTGATTTAATTACACATTTTCTCATCTGTTGATCGAGTGTATATATCAATACCCCAGTTGGAACTTAACTCATAGCGTTGTTGTTCAACTGCGTTTGGAAGCATTGGAGTTCCCACTGTTCTACCGTTTGGAAGCATTGGAGGTCCCACTGTTCTACTGTTTGGAAGCATTGGAGTTAGTTTCTACTGTTCTACCCTACTTGGCCTATTTCATCGTTGGTACGCCACACATCACCATGAAGCCGCCGCACGTCACAGTGCCCAATTTAAACCCTTTGAAAATAAAGTTTGTTCGTTCGTTCTCTGGTTGCCCTTCTCTTTCCAGTTGGTGACACCAAGTGTTTGCAGGTCTGTCAGGACATTATCTCTCCATACTCTTCTTGGTCTGCCTTTTGGTTATTGTTTAGCTTAGCATTATTTAAATTTACAATGGGAAAACATTGCATGTATAAATGTTGTTGGCACCTTTCAGTTTTTCCAGATGACAGTGTTATATTGTGCTTTAGAGCAGCATGGAATTACAGTCCATGGTGATAGCGTGCCTGACTAGCAAGACCTGCTCGTCCTTCTTCTAACTCAAGCCTGAGTCTGAAGAATCTCAGCACAGTCCACAAACTCTGTTGCACCGGCGAGGATCCTGAAATACTTCAGATATATTTTTCACATCAAATTTTGCCTGGACAGCGCCGTTAGGCCACTCTTTTCAATTTCCAACTACCAAGGGATTTTTTTTTTACGTGCCCAACAATACACACAGACTTCCGGTTTTACTACCCAGAGACCAGGGGAAATACTACCAATATTGGTAAGGGTATATGGTGTCGTCTTAATTTTTTTTTTTATAGATCACCAGATAAAACTATGTTTCACCTGCACAAACCAAACAAAAGCAGCAGCAACAACTGGTAGTCAACAACAAATGACAACAGGCTAATAACCTTGTGCATAGCTTCTTCCTCTGCTTTCCTTCTCTTTTCTTGCTTCTCTCCATCTGCTTTTAGTGCTAAATCTCGAGCTCTCTCGTGGTCCTGCTGTCTGTTCAGGTAATGTGAGTATGCTTTACGGAGATTAGTTACCGAGTCATTCTAGAGAGAGAGAGAGAGAGAGAGAGAGAAATACATTTTAAATCGTTCCTGCATTCTCTGTGTAATTCACTACAAGACCAGCTAGGATTATATTCTTTTAAAAACATACAGAAAAGGTAATGTTATAATATTATTAGGAGTGTATACAAGTCTGTTTATATGAGTCTTGGAGATGAGATGTCTGAGAAGGGCTGTAGGAGTGACCATAAGAGATAAGATCAGGAATGAGATCATAAGAGAAAAAGTCGGCACAGAACCAAATCTAAATTACATACGAAGACAGCAGGTGAAATGGTTTGCCCACTTAGAGAGAATGCCTTGTGACACCATACCATACAAAGCATACATGGAAAGAGAAGAAAGACGTAGAACACGAGGTAGACAAAGAACAAGATGGAAGGATAACATCAGAGAAACTCTACAACAGCACGATGTGCCTATGGTCGAGGCGACCAGAAGAGCTAGAGACAGAACCTTATATCTCCCTCGACACCCACAGCGGTAAAAGAGGAAGTGAAGAAGAAGAAGAAGTATACAAGTCTTCACATAATGCAGTGTAGAAGAACAAACAGATCACATGGTCCTGAGAGAAGGATGCGGCAGAGATTAACCAGAGGATCTATTCTATGTTCAACACTTGAAAAATAAAAATTTAAAAAAGGCAAGACAAACAAATAATTAGATTGCAAATAGCAGTATTGGTACTGGATATCTATCTATGCTGGCTGCTAAAGATAGGGTTAGAGTGCTTGCAGGGTAAACAATGAGTGCTGTCATGTAAGTTGTTCATTCAATTCATAATTATTCACTTCCCTTATGGGTTTGGGTAACAAATGGGTGATACAGAAGTAACAGAAATGTCTAGAGTGTGAGAAACTAAGCTTTCATACGCTCTCACCACATGTTTCTGTGGCAAAATGTCAAGCTGTTTGCCTCGTGCTCTGAAGTTCCTGGGTTCATTTCATGGATGCTTTGTTCAATTCACTAGAATTCAATACACATTTATAGAGATCCCTAGGAAGTGCTACCTGAGCTTCAAGGTTTGTGCTTTGCATGATATTCTTGACAGGTGATTAGCTGTTCTGTGCAGGTAGACTGAGCCTTATTGGATAAATCCCAGTGCCTTGAAGTTGATCCTCTGACTGTAACTTTAAATTAAGTAAGCTGGTCCTTCATTTTTACTCAGACGCAACATAATGAGGTATTGGTGATTACGTCCGTGTTTCTGTCATAGTTATGGTAGACAGTCAAGACATCTAGTGATTTATCTTTTTGTCTTTAATTCCTTTTATTCTTCCTACAAAGTTTTTCAGTTGTCTCCGAATTTCAAAGTTTACTTCTTCTCATAACTATCCTGTCATATTTCATCTAAAAAAAAGAAAAGTTACTCAAAGAGCACAACCCTACATTTAACTAGGAAAGAAAAAAAAATAATAGCTGCATATCATTTTCTTTAATAGTTCAAGAGCATTCCTTCATTTTTAACTCAAAAAGATAAAACAAATTATAGTTTCATCCCAGTTTCTAAAAAACTTCATGAGCATCGTGTCACTTTATCTAAGAAAGATTAAATTATAATTTCATACCATTTTCTTACACTCTCGATGCCACTGTTCTTTGACAGACTTATACACTTTGTCATGCTCAGTCCGTCGCAAAGTCAAAGGCTGAAATAAAAGCATATATTTTTTTTAAATTGCACACGTGTGAAACAATGAGATTCTGGTTGTATAGCAATATTGTCTGACACTTTTGTAACAGATGCCTCAGTGCACATATCAGGTCTTATTTTTTTTAAAAACTACATTAAGAAATATTTAAAATAAGTTCCAATAAAGTATTACAGTTTTTTGCTGTAAATATAAATAAAGTAACAAAGCTGGCTGAAACACTCAACAGGATGCAATTAGATGTTTGGTGTTTGGGGGGGGGGGGGGGGGGGGGGGGGGGGTCTATGAGACTCATTAAATGACATGCTGTTCCACAAGCTGCCATCTTACTTCTCAGCACTCTTCTTTACAGCAGTGAAACTTTGTAACCACACCAGGAAAAGTTTTCATATGCGATGCATAAAAGAATACTTATGTGGTAACATATAATCATAAACAAGTGAGGAATTGGAAAGAGCAGGTATTACATCAGTGTTCTCAATGCTCAATCTCTGAAGGCTCAGGTGGCTGGGTAACACTTAGAGAATACAGGAAGGTAGAGTCCCTAAGGACATACTCTGTGGTAAATTACAGATGGATTGAAGATGTCAATGTCTGCTTCTGCTTCAATATAAAGATGTGTGCAAACAAGACATGAATAACACAGGTGTTAATGTAGATTCATGGTAACAACAATGGCATGAACAGTGTTGCATGGAGGGGGTAAATCAGGAATGGAGTGGGGATAAAAGAAAGCAATAAGTGCAGTTAGGGTTGAGAAGTGAGCCCCTGAGAAGAGGTATACTAAATACATGTGATGGCAACATTGGTCCTGAAATCCCATTCTCTACTTGTGGAAGGTTTTTCGTAATGCGAACAGGTCTTGTCAGTCACACTCACCAACACCATGATCTATGATTCAAATACCTCAATATGGCACAATATAACACTATCATCTGGAAAGACGGAAAGGTACCAAAACAAACAATAAACATTAATGGTTTGGAAAGAACAGTCCTGAAAGGCTTGGGTCTTAGATGAATGAGCAGAAGTTGACTAATGCGAAGATAAGACTTTCAACATTAAGAAGACCCTGGTTACCTCTGGGCATATAGCCGCTAAGCTACTGCCCACAAAAGAGGTAGAGGAGCTGGTGAATATATATATATATAGTGAGATATTGTGAGGGCCCTTTGGGAGCAAGTGAACGGTGCGGAGGTGCAGATAGATCATTAGGGTTTAAGAAGAATAGCGCTGCGAAGAGTTACCAGGGGATCTGGCCGACACTCAACACTCAGGGGAAGGATGAGACGGCTATACAATCAGACGGTTACTGGTACCATCAGAACTGGAACTCTTGGCTTGCTGCTGAAGATGGAGTGTCCCGAGTTCTGTGATGTCGATTCTTAATTCAACATTCATACATTTATATTCTGTGAAAGAAATTAACAGACAGACAGAATGGCTGGTTGTGTACCAATGGGAGGGGAAGTGATGCACGACAAGCCAGATATGGTCAAGGCCCTCTAGGAGCAAGTGAACAATGTGCAGGTACGCAAAGATCATTATGGTCTGGAGAGATTAGCACAGCTAGAAGTGAACAGGAGATCTGGTCGACCCGCTACACTCAGATAAAGGCAAAACGAACATATAATCAAACTGTTAATGACACTATCTGAACTGAAACTCTTCACTGGCTGCTGAATATGAGAGGACAGAGAGCTTACATTATCCCCAGTGTAGAGATGTCAGTTCTTAGCTTCCTTGTGTGGGGTTCCGAGGCCCCATTGCGGGGAAAACAAGAATAGACCCACTGCCTGCCTAACAACCATGTCCTAAGAGACAACTAACTGGGTGTTTCCTTCGAAGTCAGAGAGGCAAGGAACCAACAGTCTGTATACAAATAAGTCAGATCTGTAAAATGGATGTGCACGCAAGACTCAGATTCTGGGACAAGTCTAAAGTTCAGAGGTGGATGAACAACCAGAACTTTCTGCCAGAGTTTACAGCCAGTGAACGTGAAGAAGAACATCTTAGATCAACACACAGCACTGTGAAAAAAAGTGTGAAATGGTATGAGTCTTCTTCTCTGTCTCTCTCATGCATGTGTGAGAATGAGAGGGATAGAGAAAGTCTGAGTGTGTGTATGTGTAGGGCAAAACAAATCCTGCTGTTAACAAAAAGTTCATGCCATACCTACCTCCACAAATTTATGTGTGTGCAACACTGCTTGAGTAGCCTGAAGATTGCTGGCAAACTCAACATCCTGTTCAAAGTTACATGAGGTACATATGTATTTAAATAAATTACCTGTAATAACTTTCTTACACAATGTTAAATTGTAAATTATACACTGTAACTTACCAACAAACTTTAAAAACTGAGAAATACTAAATAAGTTTCCAAATTTAATTAATTACATTTTTCTAAAAATGTTCACCTGCTGCAAAGTGTAGAAATACAAGCAGTTCCTTGTCAATTTTCCCCAGTACTGTCCCATGCTCTGTTCAGCGCATTGAAATTCTCACAAATGAGAAGCCTATTACCAGGGAATTCCTCCAATTTTTCGAGCCAGTCCCAATGTTCCTTTGTGACAAGCGAGTCAGCAACAGCATAAACATTTACCCAAAATCCAGGTTGTGCCCCCATTATCTATCTGTTTACCCCGATTCAACAGGCCCAGATCAAGAACCACATACTTCACCCCATTCTTCACCAGCATAAAATTGTCCATGGCTTCCCTGTTACAGGGCAGTGGTTCTATTCTTTTCGCCCACAAAATTAGGTCCCAGAACCCACAGGGGATATTTCAATCATTTCTGACACAGCAGACTGTCAGATATCTGCTCACTGCCGTCAAGGCAAACAGCTCGTTGGCAGCTCTTTGACAGAAGCGTCTATCCTTAAACACAGCTAAACATCAGAGCATGCATAATCAGTCTTTAATGTAAGTTACACCAAGCAGTAGGCAGTTTGCCCCAGCGGTGGCTCGCAAACCCTACCCTAACCAGCCGTAGGGCATTATAATTGACACTCACACACAGGCCATCCAGTTGTTCCAGGCATTACCCGGGTCCAAACCAACTGCCTCTGATTCAAGCTCTTTCCTACGCTTCTGCACCTTACACTGGGACTGCCATTCTACTGTACGGCTCTGGCTAGTGTGATAAGACAGACCCCCTTTGCGAACCACCTCTCTAATACACAGCTAAACACACGAATGAAGACACAATGGACTTTCTCTCTCTTACACTTAAATAATCCTACTGGCAAGCTAATATGTTATCACAAAATACCTGTCATTACCTCAAGTCAACTACGGAAACATCTAATGCTCAAAACGCCACACGTCTTGTCAAAGTCCCACTGACATACTCCCTGAAAAAAACGTTTCCCCATCACTTTTGTCCAGTCCCTAACTCACTGCTCGGTCCGTGAGAACCTCGTGGACCCAAGAGTGATTTGTTCTACCGTCCCACTAGTCTGGTCAAAGTCTCTGTGGGCTGTTGAACACGCGGTTGCTAAGCGGTCAATTAAGTTCCTCCACACCATGATGCTAAACTGTTCAGCATCTTCTCATTTGGTCTTCCTCTCTCCCTCTGCCTCTCTTCCCCTCCATCTTTACTGCTGTTACAATGTACTCTAGTTTTCCCTTTCTCATGATATGACTATAGAAAGTAGATTTTCTACTCATGAAAAGTCAAAAGAAGGATGGCCATAGCAATGAAAAGACTGAACAGCATTCAAAGTCAATGGTTAAGTACCAGCAAGGAAATCAAGGTCAAAGTTTTGAGGGCACATCTTCTCTGTAGAAATATACGTATGCCAATCATGGTCGGCAGATTGGAAAGAACAGTAGCGGAAGGCATGGTGCCAGGAAAGAGGGGCAGGGGCCAACCAGAATGAAGATGGCCACAAGTTTCTTTCAGGCTGACTGTGATGTGGATGACATTCTGCAAAGTATCTGCTACATGAAGATGATGATGATGCAAGTAACCAGTTCGCTTTAGGAATTAATTTATTTAAAGACATCATAATTACAATTTTTTTGTAACGCACATGACTTAAGACCACAAATTTACCTGAGCCAGGGCAGTACAGTAGACTGACTGCAATGGTAAGAAAACCTGAAGAAAAAAAAACAGAACACAATGGCTAAAATATATGAAACTGTAAAAACACACACTAGTGTATTATAATAATTGATGTATCTTTTAAAATGAAATATTGTGCTTCCCCAGAAAAATAAGACAAGTCTTATTTTATTTTTTGCTCCCAAGGACAGCTTTTTTCAGGGAATGTCTTTATTTTTTTTTTTCATGTACAAAATTTTACATTTATTAAAACACAAATTTCAATTTATTTATACCTATTTATACATTGATTATTTATAATTCAATGTCTGTCGTGTGTTTCCAGGGATGAACAAAATATGTTCCTCTGGGTGACAATCTTAGCCTGGGCTAATATTTGGGGTAGAGCTTGTATTACAAACGACATAGACAAATTATGCTAAGGCTTTTTTGTTTCTTGTGGTAATGGCAAACAATACTGCATTAAAAAATGTTTCAACAATATGAAAATAAAAGTATCCATAAAGACAACAGAAAAATCCATACTGCATTGTTTAACTTGAAACTACAATGTAGTATCAAGAAAGACAATCTAAAGACTTGGAATTCAGGTGAGAATGATTCATAATAATAATTACAATGTTTAGAAGATTCTTGTTCCTTAATAGTGCTATGGAGGCACAAGTAATTAAGACAACCTATTAACAAAAACTGCACAGAAAATAAAAATAACAGACCAATGCAGAGAAAGGAAATACAGACTTGTGAAGACAATAGGGAACTGAAAGAAATCAAAAGATTGCCATCCCCCCCCCCCAACTGGTTAGTTGGTTGCGTATCCTTTACAGGACATTGCAGAACCAATCCCGGCATTTACTGGCGGTTGTGGTTTTTTTTTTAAAGGCAAATTTTAAATTCAGTAGTTTGCCACTGCTTCTAAACTGTCAGCTCTTTAGACCGCTGTCGAAACCAACGCAAAACGTTCTGCCTCTAAATCAACCGCAGCTGGGATCGAAACCTGGCATTACAAAGCGCCTTCGCAATGCCTAAACCACAGACTGTACCCCTCCCCCCCCCCCCCTCTCTCTCTCACAAGGGTACAAATGTAAAAATTACATAAGGCAACTGAATGAAAGTACTTTGAGTAAGACACGCCTTCCAGCTTGAAGGTTTTGGTTTTGAATCCGCATCAAGTCAGAGTTTTGTTCAAACTGATCTCAGCTCCATCAACCCAGCCTAAAATGAGTACTAGGTAATGTCCTTGGATATAAAGGTAATCAGCATGATGCTGAACACATCACCCATCGAGTGCTGATTGTTTTATAAAAATGTCTAGTCTCAAATGCCTGATGCACCACCGGCATAAAAGTGTCATAAAAACAGGTTTTAAAAAAAAAAAAAGAATTCATATTAAGAAAAATATCAAGTTTAGAAAGTCAGCTTTAAAAGAATACAAATGAAACTTGCAGTGTTAAGCCGCATGCATCAGCAAACAAAAACAAATAGTAAACAAAACAAAACTAAAATAATAAATCTTTAAACATGTGCAATGAAAATGAGATGACATTTAAAGGTACAACAAAGATCACTGTTTCTTCTTTATCGTGTGCAATATGGAAAATAATTATGAACACTTCCGCTGACACACAATATTTATCCCCCTGACTGTCTCGGTGGTAGAATGTCAACATTTTAGGTTTCTGTGTGTTCTAGGATCATGGACATGGAGGTTATGTTAAACAACAACCATCCTGTCTTAAATGTAGAGTAAACAATCAGAGAGAAGCTAGATCACCACTGTCCTGTTGCATCATTAAATGTCACAAAGGGCTCGCAGTCCATTCCTCAACTCTGTTCAATCTTGTGCAAACTCTTCAACATCAAGGATGGAATCTTGTCCAACACAAAGGCCTCCTCTCTCATTAACTTTCGTTTTAGAATTTCTTGTGGACGCACTAACTTCCTCAGTTACTTTTTTTTTTTCATATTTCAGTGCCTGTTTTGTGATTCTCTGCCCAATTCTTCCCAGGATGTCTCCAATATAACACTATCTTCTGTGTCTTATAACTGTTATTACCAGTAACTGCCCAGATACCTTTCTTATTTCTTCACCATATTTTGAATGATTCCTAGTTTATGTTCAACATTTTCATTAAATAGAAAACGAGTTAACACAGAGAAGCTAAATATGATGATATATTTAACACTTTCACTAATAGTCATCCCCATGTGGGATGCAATTTTTCGTTATTTTGAAGCCCCCCCACCCCAGCTTTTGCCGGGGTCCTTAAACATAGCCTAAAGGTTAAATGGGGTTTCTGGGACAGCTCCATGGGTGATCCACATCCACATGGTGGCATTTTGTGTCACTGAATGTTTATCGTTTTGTGTGATGCCCTAGTGGGGTACAACTTACAATACAACAGCGATGACGCCTGGTCTTGCAGTGTGTTTAAGGAGGCATGCACCTTATGGTTTGCCAGATCAAATTGTGTGTGTTTTGCTGACTGAGGACACTGTGTATGCCTACGGCATTCACTTGAAGTATCCAGCGTATCTGACTCAGTTTGTAACTGGAATCACTGGCACAGGCAGTTGAGCAATTATGGGCCAAGCTCGTTTGCTGTGATGCCGGAACCATAACGACTAACTAACTTATCAATAGTAAGATAATATCTTTGTCAAAGAAATTCATAATCTGTTTAAATCACGACTAATTACTGGCAACCGGAAAGGGGGGGGACAGAAAATAGAAAAGAACTGCATACATAAAAGAGTTGAATGGGATAAACCATTAGACAGTCAAAGAAAACTGGAGAGATAATATACAGATCCAGAGGCAGAACTACAAATACTTGGAGTCACCAACTGGAATGAGAGAGAGGAGAGAGGGAAAGGTGTATGTGTGTGCGCATGTGTGTGTATGAGAGAGAGAGACAGAGAGAGAGAGAGAAAGAGACTGAAAGAAGGGGGATGGGAGATCTGAGCACATATGGACACGACCTCTATCATCATCATCTGGTGCCTTGCCGACTGGCGTGGGCGATCATGCCTCTCCATAATCTGCGATCTCCTGCAGCATGCATCAGTTTGTGTGCCGACACACCTCCATGCCATGCAACAAGACTGTCAAGCATCTTCTCTCGCTGTCTTCCTCTATCTCTCCTTTCACGGATCTTTCCGGTGGTCACAACATGTTCTATTTTCCCTCTTCTCATAACATGGCCGAGAAATGATGACTGTCTCCTTCTGATGTCTGTGATAAGTTGTCTTCGGGCTCCCGCCTCTTTCAAAACCTTTTGGTTGCTCTTTTTGGCTGTCCAAGGTTTTCTAAGCATTCTTCTGTAAAACTACATCTCTGAGGCCTCTAGAAATTGTTTGGTCTGCCTACCGATTGTCCAGGATTCACAGCCATATGTTAAAACTGGATGTATGTAGCAAGCAAGAATTTCGTCCTCTATGTCATGAAGATAACCCAGCTCACAATTTATCACAGAGAATGTAAAAACAAGTTTATAAAAACACTAATCGCATTTATAGCCTTCTGACTTACCATCACCAGCCATCATCTTATTCCTACGCAGGTTCCAAGTAGGCATTCAAATAAAAATGCAAGTCAAATTGCAGGTATCACATGTGTGTAGGGTAACATTATACATTTTTACTAAACACACACTAAAAGAAATGACCTTATATATATCTTCGTTACTTATTTGCATATATAATTTTACTTTCGTTTTCATTGCAAGTTTTTTTTAACATTTACAACACATCTCACCCTAACTGCACTTTTTGCTTCTATACTCTTTTCTCACTTTTTCCGGGTTAGATTTTACTACAAACATTTTCTATACTGCATTTATTGTTACCAATATATTCCTCCCATGTGGGTTCCAAGGCACCAATGTGGGAGGGAAAAAGACTCACTTAATAACCCCCCCCCCCCCCCCCACAGCCAAGCATGTCATAAAAGTCGCCTAATTAGTACTTCAAAGTCAGAGTGCATCTGAGAGACAAGAAACCAATAGTCTGCACTCCCCCCCAAAAAAGTCAGAATTGTAAAATGGATGTGCACACAAATCTCACATTCTGGAATAAGATTTCAAGACCAAACTCCAAATGCTGACGAACAACTAGAACTTTTTCAGCTGGAGTTTACAGCTTGTGAACACGAAGAAGAGGACTATAAAAGCTGTTGAACTAATCTTCTTCTTCTTCTCCTTCGCTGGCTTCAAACTCCAGCGAAATGTTCTGGTTGTTCGTCCACTTCTGGACCCTAGTTCTGTTCCAGAAACTGAGTGTTGCATGCATATCCATTTTAACCGATCTGACTCATTTGCATGCAGACTGCTAGTTCCTTGCCTCTCAGGCAGATGTACTCCGACTTCGATGGAACTCCCATTTAGTCGACGACTCTTTCAACATGCTTTTGGACAGGTAGTGGGTCTATTTTTGTTTTCCCCACAATGGGGCCCCAGAACAAACACGGAGAGCTGCTGAACTAATAATTTAAAAAATAAGAGCATGTCCTAAAAGTTGTCTAACTGGGAGCTTCCTTCGAAGTTGGAGTGCATCTGCCCAAATGGCAATGAAAAACCAGTTGTACACAAATAAGCCAGTAAAATGGATATACATGCAAAACTCAGGTCCTGGCAAAAAGCCAAATGGACAACCAACTAGGATTTCCATTGGAGCTTACAGCCGGTGAACGAAGAAGAAGAAGGAGAGGCCATACTAAGGAAAATATTGTGAGTTATCTGGTATTAAATTAACCACAACTTATTTATAATGAAAACAGTTGTTAAATTGAGTAAAGAATGTTTTTACAGTGACAAATATTAGTCAATTTAAACATTTAAAAATCTACGAATATATAAAAACAACTTGCTTAACATTTACAAAAAAAGTAAAGGACCCTTTTCCCACGCCTTTCAGGCATATAAGTTATATAGGGCTAGACCGATATTTTATAGACCAAGGGCACAAAAAATGTGATGTGATCAGCATCACACCTTTACTTCCCAGGACTGCACCAGATACCCACTCAAGGCTGGGTCAACCTGGGAGCCAAGGTCATTTTTTTTTTAAAGTCCGGCTTCGCCAGGGACTTTCCGATCCCCAGGCGAGCATCTAGCCGCTAAGCCACGGTGACTCCTTTACTTAATATAGGCTAGCACAAATGCTTTTTATTGGCTATTCTCATACAACTATTTTCATGCTGCAAAATCCTCATGAAAAACCATAAACATCTCTTTCAAGTAAAAAAAAAAATAACTCGTTTACATTTTTGTGCAGAATTTCCAGTTATTTCTTATTAAACTTTTATTAAACAAAGAAAACAAAACAGATTCAACAAGCGTAAGACATACCTCTTTTTTTAAACTGTTTTGCACAGCATTGGCCAACCTTGACAGATTTTTAGCATAGTCCAGTTCTATTTAGAATATATGATTTAGCATTCTGGTTAAAATAATCAGCAAAAGCTTCAATACTGAAAAAAAAATAAAAAAAATAGATATTCTGTCTTCCAAACATATTTCACTTAAATTTCTTTTGGTCTTTCAGTTTTAAGTAAGCAAGCAAAGTACGTTTTTCATGCAAGTGGCACATCAGGTAAATGGTGCTAAATCTATATTTGTACATACCAACTGAAGGGTGGTGTGACCAACACCATGTCAATTGCCTTTACTTTCCGTGAAATTTCCTGGGTCGACCTGACAGGCAATCGTCTATCCATTGTGCTAACGTCTTTCTACTGTCTTATTCAACTGCTAATTTTATCTTCCCATGTCAACCCCAACAATCTTCTGAGAAGTCTTCCCTAAAAACCTCTGAGCATGCTCTCTATCTTTCTGCTCTATAGAGGAGATTCAAACCTACATTTTCTATTACTATAGGTCTTTCACTTGTGGGGTTTACCTCCAGCAGTTTTGTCTCATTGACACTGATTCTTAACCCTGTCTGTTTTGCTATTTCTGTGATCGTATCTGTCTTCTGTTGCAGATGTTCTTTACTTTGGCTAATGACACAGATATCATCCGCACAGCTCAAATGTTCCAGGTGTTCCAGAAGGTTCCACTGAAGGCTCATACATGTGCCTGTGGTTGCTTTCTTCATAACATAATCTATTACTATGAGAAACAAGAAAAAAATGCACACTTGTCACACTCCTGATGTTACCCTAAAGTATTGTCTTCATGAGTCCTATTTTCACTTTGAACTGGTATCCTTCATTAAGTCCTTTAAATATGTTTAAAACTTTATCTGGTAACCCATTCGCAGCAAGGATCCTCCACATCATTGATCTGTCTAGACTGTCAAAGGCCTTTTCAAAGTCTATAAAGTTTATATATAATGTGGCATTCAATTCTAAAGCTTGTTCTACAAAATTTATGACAGTAAAAATATGATCACAGCAGTTTCTTCCTTTTCTGAAACCTGCCTGATCTACTGACAAAACTGTCTACTGACATCTTCATTCTGTTATATATCATCCTACTGGGTACAGACAATAATGTTATGCCTCTCCAGTTGTTTCTGTTGCTTCTATTTCTTTAACGGTGATTGGCCCAATATCCACTTCTAGGAGGTGGCCACAGTTTTCTACTGTTTCCACTGGGATATCTGATGCTGGCCTATTTAGCAAGTTGGTAAAATATTCTTGCCAACTGTCAACCTTTCCTCTTTCTGTTGTATTTTTTTCCCTGTTGTGTCTGTCAAGTTTTCTTCATTAAAGCTAAAATATTTCCGACTTAGAACTTTTGTTATTTTTTACAATGTTCTAGTATCAGCTGTGGTTGCTGCTTCGTCCTCTTTGGCAGCTTTGAGTTCCAACTATTCCTTTTTGTCTTTCTTTAAGCTTTTCTTTACATCTTTATGTCTGCTGTTATATGCAAGGTTTTTTTTTTTGCATTTTTCTTTCTTCTATCGTTCACCAAGATTCTTTAGACATCCATTCCTCTCTCACATGTTTCTTCATACTGATTATTTTCTGGGTTGCATTGCAATATGCATCTTTAGACTGTGCCCATTCTTCTTCAATATTTGCTGTCTCTGGTAGATGGTTAAACATCTCGAACTAGTTTCTTAGCTCGACGCAAAAATCTTCTCTGAAATTTAATGTCCTGAGCTGGGCTGAATCAAATAATGGGCTCACGGTTTTTTTCTTTTGCCTTTTCTTAATTAAAGCTTCAATCTAAATATCACTACGTTGTGGTCGCTCCCAACGTCAGGTTTCCTTTTAGCAAATACATCTTGTATCAAAGTCGCTACCAACGTCAGATTTCCTTTTAGCAAATACATCTTGTATCAAAGTCGCTACCAATGTCAGGTTTCCTTTTAGCAAATACATCTTGTATCAAAGTCGCTACCAACGTCAGGTTTCCTTTTAGCAAATACATCTTGTATCAAAGTCGCTACCAACGTCAGGTTTCCTTTTAGCAAATACATCTTGTATCAAAGTCGCTACCAACGTCAGGTTTCCTTTTAGCAAATACATCTTGTATCAAAGTCGCTACCAACGTCAGGTTTCCTTTTAGCAAATACATCTTGTATCAAAGTCGCTACCAACGTCAGGTTTCCTTTTAGCAAATACATCTTGTATCAAAGTCGCTACCAACGTCAGGTTTCCTTTTAGCAAATACATCTTGTATCAAAGTCGCTACCAACGTCAGGTTTTCTTTTAGCAAATACATCTTGTATCAAAGTCGCTACCAACGTCAGGTTTCCTTTTAGCAAATACATCTTGTATCAAAGTTGTCTAGTATGTGGTAAATTTGGTTCCTCGTGTTGCCATTAGGTGACGATGGATATCTTTATGCATGAAGACTATAGTGCAATACAAACAACTGCTTAAACTATGTAGCTCTGAGCAAAGGTCTCCTAGGTAAACAGCCTCTCTGCTGAAAGAAACTGGGCCTAATGGGATCGAACCCTGCACAATTAAATCAAATCGCCCACAGAAGGCAAACATTCATCACACAGGTTACCCTGCAAACATCATATCTGTTTTTTTTTAATGGTTGAACAGGGTTTCTGGGAGTTGCTCCTGTCGCCTTACATCTCAGAATAGTGACTCCTTCTTGAGTCATGGGTTGCCAAGTTAGTCAGCAATCCCAGAGGGAGAAAACATTTAAAAATCAATCTTGTTACTTGCAAACACAATTTTTACTTTCTATGGAAATATTTGGTTCACATAATGAGAATGAGGAAACAGTAAATTATTCCTTACCAAGTTGGGTTTTCCTTTCTATGTATGTAATAACATCAGCAATATACCGGGACCAGACTTTGGCTCGCTGCAAGGCAAGACTTAATCCTTTATCAAGACCCACTAAGATGGCATCAATTTCTTCTGGTGACATTCGAACTGGAAAAAATACAAGAAACTAAGTTGTTTGGTAATTAATAATTATAAGTATGATAGGCGCCGCTGCATAGTGAGTAGACCTTGCCTGTCGGCCTGAAGGTAAAGGATTCAAACCTGTACTGAGCCATATTTTTTTTCCAACTGACCTTGGCTCCCAGATTTACTCAGCCTAAAATTGTTAATAGGTAAAGTCCCAGGAAGTAAAGGCAGAGGGTATAATGTGGACCACATCACCCATCGAGTGCTGATCATCATTATCATGTGCCCTGCCAATTGGCGTAGGCGCTCAAATGTCTCCACAGATCATGATCCCTGGTTGCCTGGAACAGCTCTCTTGATGATATCCCTCGATGCCATCGTTTTAGCCCATCCAACAACATCTCTCTGCCTCTATCCTCTTTATCCACTGATCTTTCCAGTTATCACGATGTTCTCCAATGTCTCTCTTCTCAGTATGTGGCCAAAGAACAGTGTTTGTCTCTTTCTTGTTGTTGTATATAGAAATCTACTTTCATTAGCTTCTTTCAAGCAATCGTTGTTAGTTACTCTAGCCATCCAAGGTATTCGTAACATTCGTCTCAGAAACCACATCCCTGTTGCTTCCAAATTCTTCTTAACTTGACATTCCAAGATTCGCTGCCACAGGTTCTATGTAACATTTCAGCACCCTCTTTCTGACATTAAATGAGAGCGATTTATTGCATAAGATATTTTTCATTTTCTAAATTGCAGCTTTTGCTTGACCTATTCTGCTTTTAATTTCTGTCACACATTTTTCCAACTGATGATATGATTGTTCCCAGATATTTGAATTTATTGACTTGCGCCCAGATCTACTTAGCCTATAATTATTACCAGGTAAAGTCCCAGGAGTTAAAGGCAGAGGGTATAATGTGGACCACATCATTCATTGAGTACTGATGGGTTTATACAAATATATACCCGATGCACCACAGAAACAAAAAGGAGTAATACAGGGGTTAGTGCTCTTACTGAGCAGACAGTTGTCCAGGTTTAATCCCCAGCAGCTGCAGGATTCCATTTTCTAACCCACCATCATAAAAATGGTCACAGGAAAGTTTCTACATGTTGGTGAGAATCACCTGTGAAAGGAATTGGCTACTGCAACTCTTTATGGATAAATGAATGAACCTTCTTCTTTGCGTTCACTAGCTGTAAAGTTCAGATGAAAGTTCTGGTTGTTCGTCCACTTCTGGACTTTATTCTTGTGTTTCAGAATTTGAAGTTTGCGTACACATGTTTTACGATATGATGTATTTGTATGCAGACTGTTAGTTCCTTGCCTCTCAGGCAGATGTACTCCAATTTTGAATGAAACTCCCAATCATCGACTCTTACAACATGCTTGTTAGGGAGGCAGTAGGCCTTTTCTCCCCACCCTCTTCAGAGAAGAGAGATAAAGAGAGAGTATGTGTGTGCGCGCACCCATGCTTGTGTAAGAGAGACAGCGAGAGAGAGTGAAAGAGAGAAGGGGGAAAATAAAGGAAAGGAGAGAGAAAGAAACTAGAAGAGCAGGGAAGGAGAGGGGAAACTGTAGAGTGGGAAGGAGAGAGGCAGAGTAGAGGAGTCAGAAAGAGAGGATAGACATGGCAAAGGAGAGAGGAAAAGAGCAGGGAGGGATAGAAACAGGAGAGGAGTAGGGAAGAGAGGAGGGAGAGAGTGAAAAGGCATGGTGAAGGAAGGAGAGGTACATCTGTCATATTAGAGATATATTTCTGAAGCACACACATTTTAAGCTACACAGACCCAGTCAGTGAAAATCTCCAAATGAATGACATACCTGATTCAGTCTGGTCGTGAGATACTATTCTTTCTTCTGATGAGATATTGTTCATGGACTGAATAGAGTCAAGATAAAAGTATTACAGAGTCAAGATAACAGCATTATTAACTTGTGTGTGCATGTGAATGTTTGAGAACTAATGTTTAATTAAGAATCAACATCACAGCACTCGGGACATTCTCATAAGCGCTCTGTTCCTATCTTCAGCAGCAAGCGCAGAGTTCCAATTTCGATAGTACCAGTATCAGTATGATAGTATATCTGTCTCACCTTTCCTGTGAGTGCTGATCATCGGCCAGAACCCCTGGTGACTCCTCACAGCACTATTCTCCTCAGATCATAATGATCAAGCCTGTGCTTCCGCACTGTTCCCTTCCCCCAAAGGCTCCTTCCAGCATCTAGCTTGTTTGAGAACTAATGGGATGGTTGGCAACCAAATACATTATTGTTCATTGCACATCAGATATGACCATAAGCACTCTGATCACATCCTCAGTATGCCTGTAAGTGTCGTAAGGCTACTCCCATTCTGTTCTGGTTGATGTAATAACAGGTTTTCTTGTCAAAATACATTATTCAACAATGTAAAGTGAACATTCCAGTACTGTTACACACTGAACCGTATTTTACCACCCATCCCCAAAACCATAAAGGACAACAGGTTACCTTCTGTAGCCACAGAAATTCCTAATACAAGCAATATATATATACCATGTGTCCGTAAAGTCATGGTGCCCTTTTGACCGGTTACATGAAAGCAACAAAAGAAAAATGTTAAATCTGCACTAAATGAAAGGAAAACTCTCCAAGTTTCGAAGTATGATGTGAAAGCGTGTGCGCACTGAATAGGTGTGAAACTTCTATCTTGTTTTGTGACTATGAAATAGCTCTTGACACCCATATGTATGTTGCTATAGGTAAGCTGTATGCTGCAGAAACTGAAGTCATTTTCATAAGAAATAAGAAATAAAGAAAGGAGAAGATCATTTGCTTATTACTGAAACTTACTTTAGTTTTAAGATCCATGACCAACTGAGGTCCCATATCTCCCATCAGATACTCAGACACACTGCAGACAGATTAAAAAACTGAATATATTTTGCTTCTAAGACACGTGTGTATAAAATGTCCACGCCTTAATGCAGTTCCATCAGTATGATTTATTTTTCTTTGTGTTGTAATGTTTTATTTCCATCAAATACTCAGATACACTGCAGATTAAGATAAATAAATTTTGCTTTTAAGACTGAATATATTTTGACTTAATGCTTCTAAGACAATGTCTTATTTCGATACTCAGATCTGTATGAAATTTCCACACCTTAATGTAGTTCCAATGTCTGAGAAGGGCTGTAGGAGTGACCATAAGAGATAAGATTAGGAATGAGATCATAAGAGAAAAAGTCGGCATAGAACCAATTCTAAATTACATACAAAGACAGCAAGTGAAATGGTTTGCCCATTTAGAGAGAATGCCTTGTGACACCATACCATACAAAGCATACATGGAAAGAGAAGAAGGACGTAGAGCAAGAGGTAGACCAAGAACAAGATGGAAGGATAACATCAGAGAAACTCTACAATAGAACGATGTGCCTATGGTCGAGGCGGCCAGAAGAGCTAGAAACAGAACCTTATATTTCCCTTGACACCCACAGCGGTAAAAGAGGAAGTGAAGAAGAAGAAGAAGAATGTAGTTCCATCAGTATGATTTCTTTTCTTTGTGTTGTAATGTTTTATTTCCATCAGATACTCAGATACACTGCAGACAGATTAAACAACTGAATATATTTTGCTTCTAAGACACATCTGTACAATATTTCCATGACTTAATGTAGTTCCGTCTATAAAATCAAATGGTATTTTTTTTAAAGCCAGTTTGAAATTAAATTGTCCCATAAGCCTCAGTGATAGATGTGTCACAGCATGAGTCACCTGATACATACATTTCTTAGGCCCCCTGATAATGTAATCCATTTAATGCTTCACTCTGTTCATGTTTATGTATATTTACACACTTCAAAAACCAAAAACAATTTTTTTTAATGTACATAAATACATTTTACACACTAATTAGTGTCCAGTGAAATTTTTTTTAAAGGAATTTTTGAGATTTTTCCATAAGGCCATAACCCATTTTAGTGTTACAAGTGAAAAAGGGCTATGGTGGTTGAATCAAATCAAATTGGCAATCTGTTAATGCTTACTGAATTTGTTGATTAGGTAAGCCTTTCTGAAATCTGTATGATCTTAAAGCAGCACTATTTGTCTTCTAAACTGGTGCTGTAAACAGCTTCCTGTCTCCATGAAAAAAACATACTGCTAATAGTGGTTCATATTAGCTAATATTATCATCATCATCATGTGCCCTGCCAACTGGCGTAGGCGCTCATGCGTCTCCACAGATCACGATGGTTGCCTGGAACAGCTCTCTTGATGATATCCCTCTATGCCATCGTTTCAGCCAATCCAGCATTTTCTCTCTTGGTCTGCCTCTACCCCTTTTTCCACTGATCTTTCCAGTTGTCACGATGTTCTCCAATGTCTCTCTTTTCATTATGTGGTCAAAGAACAGTTAGCTAATATGGGTTAAGATAAATGTTGCTGTTGTGAGGTCTCCACAATGACATTGGCTACAGTACATCCTTTGCCGTCTTTGGAAATATTACATGGTGAATCTATAATCTATTACATGGTGAATCTCCAAACTATTCTATGGTGTTTCTCTCATACCATTGCCTGAAATCTTTGAAAAAAAGTCTTTTTCGAAACCACTCGCAACAGAAATCAAACCCTAGTAAGAAGGTAAGGCAAAGACTACTGTGAAATGGTGTCATCAGCCTCCAACCCAGCGTTACAAAACGGACACTTTGAAAATAGCCCTAAAAAAACCTTGCCGTTCTTTATAAGTTAAGGCTGTTAATATAGCATAGAAACTACTTGAACAACAAACAGCTCAGAAAAAGCATATATATAACAGTAAATATACAGACATGGTTACCTGCTACTAAATGTCAGCGCAAGCTGGTCGATGGCATCACAGAAGTCTCTTACATTCTGTGCTGTCATGTCCTCTTCATAATCATGATCTGCGGTTTATTTAAAAAACAAAACATTAATGAACATTAAACTATGACAATGCAGGTTGAATAAAATACTAACAGTAAATGTGAAAGCAATATCATGACAGAATATAGCTGTGTGTATGTATGTAGGACTTCACAAAAAAACTAGGTCTTAACACTATAAAGTGGTATGACATGAGAAGAGTTCAAAACAAAATGGTAGCCCCACTGCTCCTCTAATAAGCATGTCGTAAAAGGCGACTAATTCTAAGTTATTCCTTAAAAGTTGGAGTGTATCTGCCTGAGAGGCGAAGGAAGCAACAGTCTGCATTTACAATAAGCCTGTAAAATGAATGTCCATGCAAAACTCAAGTTCTGGAATGCTGAATAAGGAATCAACATCACAGCGCTCTGGACATTCCCACATGCACTCCAACCCTATCAGCAGCAGCAAGCAAAAAGTTCCTATTCCAATAGCATCAGTAACTGTCTGACTGTATATCCATTTCGTCTTTCCCTTGAGCGTTGAGCATTGGACAGATCACCTGGTAAATCCTAGCAGTGCCACTCTCCTCAGACCATATTGATCCATTTGTGTCTGCACTCTGTTCACTCTCTCCTAAGGAGCCTGATAACATCTAACTTGTCATACATCAATTAACCACCAAGTGGTGCAGAACCAGCCAGTATATCTGCCTGTTCATTTCCAAATACACCTGCATGACCCTGAGAACTACTCAGGATCTCTGAAGCGATGCTTTCCACTCTGCATGGAGAATGCCTGTCTCCACCTTCACCAACTTGCTAATGAGACAGTTACTAAGTGTGTGTAAAGCAAGTTCTGGAACAAGACTGAAGTCTAGAAGAAGTGTACTTTCCAACCAGTGAACATAAAGAAGAAGAATGAATTTTACAATTAGTTTCAGTATGTTTTCTTCTTCTTAGTGTGTGTGTGTGGATATAATAAATGTATTAATGTAATTAATTATCAACACTGAATTCTGGGTTACTTTTCTGAAAGTGTAGGTACTCTGTAGCTTTCCACAATTGGAATCAAAGAGCTCATCCACAAGCTTTACCTTTAATCATAGCGATTAGATTTCTTGCTGCTGTGAAGATGTCTGGAGACTGCAGGGCTGAGTAATGCTGCATAACTGGATTTAGAATAGATAGCACCTCACCTAGTCCTTCATGAATCACCACACGGGCATCTTCTTCTGGATCTATGTATCGGAAATACACATCACATTTTGAAAGTAGTAAGTAAAATAAAACAGTAAAGATCCCTTTTCACGCCTTTAGGCACATCGGGCATATGGAAAGAGCACCCCATATTTTTACAGACTAATTGGCACTGGGTGGGTAATGTGGCCAGCCGTCTTTACTTCCCCAGGACATCCATCCTGGTACCCATTTCAGGCAGAATTGGCCTGCGATGTTCCATACCATGATAAAAATCCACACAGCCAGCAGTGGGTTTCCATCGCGGTACGTTGGAAATATGAGTTGGGACTCGCAACGCCTAAGCCACGGATGCTGCTATTTTGAAAGTGTACACGTGAAAATGACAGGCCACTGTGCTACACGATGTCCCATAAGTTCACATACATTTTTTTTTAAAGAGTTATCGCCAACACTATCATTACAAGCACAACTTCAGATGTGCAGTTGGGCAGTCGAGGACATATATCGAAAAATATTTTCAAAACAATGGTATTTTTTCCTATGTATAAAACACATGGGGAGGTGCGGTGGTGTAGTGGCTAGACTCTCGCCTGCGAATTGCAAGGTTGTGGATTCAGATCCTGACATGACCAGGCCTTCTTCAAAAATGACATTGGCTTCTAGGGCAATCCAGCCTTGAGTGGGTACCAGGTACAGTCCCAGGATGTAAAGGAGGCCGGCGTGATGTTGACCACATCACCCAACAAGTGCTGATTGGTCTATAAATATAGGTCTAGCCCTATATGCCTGAAGGCGTGGAAAAGGGTCCTTTGCTTTTACTTTTATGAAACATATGGGACACCCTATACTAAAAGCTCTCTCACTTCCTCCCACTCTACAACCTACTTCTCTCTCTATCTCACCCCCCCCCCCCCCCACTCACTTGTAAATTAAACACGGGTAGGATAAACATCGTGATACAGGGGTGTATAAAACAAGTTACTTCTCATAAACAGGTTCTATCACAGTATGAAGTGACCAACTCCTTTGCTTCTTTAATCATTGGCATCTTTCTGTCTTTCCAGATGATATTATCACACTGTCTTACAGAGATGCATGGGACTCACAGTCCGTTCAGGCTAGGGATGAAGCGCATCCTCTACCCAGCATAAAGCCAGGGCAATATTGTACACATCAAATGTTGCCCATGAAGCCTGATCCCACCCTCTGTCTGCCCTTTTTTTAACTCCAAAGGAAAGCTAACACCAATACATTTGGAACAAAGTCTGCTGCAAAAACCACTGGGTCAGAAGAGCAGCTTTCGGTTCTGTATTATCTTACCCCAGATGACGTCACAGGTCAGTTAAACTTTTAGAAGGTGGCAACACTGGGTTTCCTGGCTTTCTGATGCTTTTAACGACCTCAAAGCATCTAGAACTGGCCCTCACCCCAACCCACCTACGTCCCACATGAGAGTGCAGCCTAGGTCCCACAAATACATGCAGCTTAGGTCCCACGATGCTTGCAGCCTAGGTACCACGACTGCGTGCAGCCTATCTACCACCCCCTGAAATATTAGACTGTCCCATGACCTGTGGATTTCTCCTGTTTGGGGTAGAATATTATTAAAGCAGCCAGCTTTCTGCCTGCTGGGGCTTCCCTGCTCGACTAGCTGTCACCCATCACCCAAGGCTAAGGGCCTGTTCTGATCATATTTTTAGATTGCCCCTCTTACCCTATTACAAGGTTAGATTGACAATCAGTAATGTGAAGTTAAACAAAAATAACATTGCTTAACTCGGGACTAAAATACGTTGCAAGAGATGAAATGTGTGATTCTTCCCGTCGCGTGATCTATAACAATAACTACAGAATTTGAAACAATTGTACCAGCACAGCAAAGAAAACATGTGAGGTAAGTAATATGGTCAATATCTACACCTTTCTAAGTTTCCAATGATCAAATCAGACTATCACTGCACACCAGACAAGCTCCTATCTGTGCAGGGCTCCTCATAAGAATAAGAATGCAAAAACTACTGATGACAGGTTAGTTAGTGTTCACTGTTTGTTTGTTTTGAACAGTGTTGTTTAATTCATATGTGACAATTTTTTCCATTCAGTAGTTTGCCACTGCTTTCTGAAAAGCCCTCAGATTTCTTTTTTTTTAAATCCATATAATTCTCTGAAACTCTACACTAAGAAAGAAACAGAAGACATTTTGAGACTTAGTGAATTTTTTGGAGGTTGAACCCGTGGACCACTGAATAGACAGGCTAGTGTGAAGTCCTCAGCTTCTTTGATGACATCAGATCAGTAAAAAAGTAAAGTTTTAATTCACTAAATGGAACTTAATCTGGAAAAGGTTTATTTCTATATAAAGGGAAGTAATAACAAAATACAGAGCAAACAGTTAACTGACTTCCTTCCCTTTGACCACTGAAAAGTGGCTCTTATCACTTTGCCAGAGATTGCAATTTGATGCAATTAAGAAAGTATATGATGTCCAGTTTTTACAAATCTATTTTTACCCCGTAAATAATGTATTAAAAAAAGTTTGTGTCAGTACCATTGTACCTACCATGCCTATACACCAGGGCTATTCTACTGGCAGCCCGCTGGCTTAATCTGACCAGCAGAGTCCTGGCAAGTGACCCGCGGATCATTACCAGTTGTATTGAATTAATGATCTTTCTATGCCTGGGCTGCATCTGGCCCGTGATGATTCCCATTTTCACAGAGTAAACTTAGTTGAATAGTCCTGCTATATTCTTTGCGGTTACAGCCAGTACCAAACTGTCAGACAGGCATCCTGAGCACTATCCAGAAACATAATGTCAACTAAAACCTTTAAAAGTGAGTAGGGAAAACTGGCTTTCCGGGGGCAACAGAATTACACTAGCTCTTTTAATTCAGTACCCCATTTTAAGATGAGGAATTATTCCAGAATACTGGTTAAGCAAGCACATACATACTGAAACACTACTGAGAAACAAACCTATGCCTTCCGTGAACAGCAGCTTCAGCCTTGCAAGAGAATCAGAAAACCTCTTAACATCCTGAGTCAATGCTATAATTTCCTCATGGTCCATGATGTCAGGGCTGGGCGGCTCACCCGTGGTTATTGTTCCCAGAGAGCTGCTTTTCTTCGGCGAATGAAGAGACATTGTGTCAACAATCTCAGTTGTGATGTTGACAGTAAGATGTTGAAGGACCTGCTAAAGACATTCAGGCCAGTCGTGTACGTTTCCCTGAAACACATAAACATTTTCTTTCTGTCATTAAAAAAATGCAACAATTTTAATGTATAAATTTACTGTCATTCTGTCAATAATCTCTGATCGTATATCAACAGTAAAGACAAATGTAGCCCCTACACACTGTTGTAAGAACTGAAGTTTGTGCTGTGCGATGCTCTCTACCGACAGCTGCTGGAGTGACCAGGAGAGATCAAATCAGAAATGAAGTGATGAGACAACACTGGCACAGAAACAATATTAAATTACACAAAAAGACAGCAAACATCTTCCTCTTCGCGTTCACAAGTTGTAAATTTCAGCAGAAAATTTAGGTAGTTCATCTACCTCTGGACTTTAGTTTGTTCCAGAAGTTGAGTTTTGCAAGCACACCCATTTTACAGTTCCTACTTATTTGCATGCAGACAGATTGTTCATTGCTCAGGCAGATGCACTCTGACTCCAAAGGAAGCCCCCAATTAGTCGACTCTTATGGCATGCTTGTTTTTCTCCAAAATGGGGTCCCAGAATCCACACAGGGAGCAGCAAACAAAATGGGTTGCCCACCTAGAGAGGATTTCTTGTGACTCTAAACCCTATAAGGCATACAACAAAACAGAAGAGGGACACAAAACATGAACCAGACCAAGAACAGGATGAGGGGAGAAAACAATCAGAAAAACTCTACAACAGCACATGTCCCTTTTTTTCTTTGAAGGTCATAGGTTTGTTTCATGGCTGCATCATTCAGTTCATAAGTACAATTTTTATGGGGATCATCGGAAGAGCTACAATGTTTGTGCTTTGTGCAACGCTCTCTGCAGGCCTTTCTGTGACCCTTAGCTCTACTCAGTGATTCTTGCAGGAGGTGCTTCTCTGCAAGCTACTCTGAGATATGACTGCCTGCAGAACTTTGAGCCTATCTGCAATAGTAGGCAGTGCAAGTATATATCGCATACATACTACCGGGGTATGTCTTGTACATCCCAGAATTACCTGCATGGCTTGATTCTGTATGCGTTTGAGTTTTATCAGCTGATTCTTTGATATGGTAAGCATTCCAAGTCCATAATATATCATCGACAGGATCACATGCAGGAACACTGTGAACAACATTCTTTGTTCCATGTCCATCGCTGCCATAATCTTGAGAGCATTGAGTCCTTTCTGGCATTTCAACGCAACTGCCTCCACGTGATACCAGTAAGACTCGCTTCTATCGAAAGTGATACCTAGGTACCTTAGTTTGCTTTCTCTTTTGATGTTAATGTTATTACCTGTGAGGCTTGGAATATTAACTCTTATAATTTATTGTCAGGAGAGCACCACAAAACAGCCGCCTTTTCTGAGTTGATGACTGCACCCATTTCTGCAAACCATCCAGTCACAGTCTATAGTTGCTTGCAGCTCTTGGACTATCCGTTTTCTATCACTCCCTTACCTTTGTGCAAGAACATCATCAGCAAATGTCAATACCCGTCCAACACCTGGTGCTTCAAGTTTTGCAATCTTGCTTGTATACACATTAAAGAGAACCATTGAAATTGCAGAACCCTAGGGTAGTCCCAGGGCTATATTACATGGCTCTGAAGTCTATGTACCCAGGCGAAGGGCAACCTTACATGAATGCAGGACAGCTGCTATCCATGTTTTTCGGTAGCATTATATAAGTGGGGTTATTCAAATCTAAAATTAATCTAGAGTTATCTTAGGTCCACTATGGCTCTTTGGCTTTGCCATTCTTGTCAACTTAAACAAAGTAGTGAAAGAAACTGACTTTGATTATTTGCTTTCAAAATGTGCAGAGAACAAAGTCAGGGAAA